TTTGAAGCCTCTGACAGAATCATGACTGATTTCAACAGAACCCAGATGTGTGACTTTATTTGCAGGTGCAACTGAGCATTCTGTTAACAGGAGAATCGATCTGAAATTTTCTAACAGAATATTTTCCTGTTAGAAAATGCCAGTTTGTCCAAAGAGAACTATTTCATGAAAATGTACTAATTACCATGACATTTCTCTTGCAGACAGAAATTTTAAAAAGCATATTGATTGGGTCAGATGTGACCCTTTTTGGACATATTTGGAATAGAACATATTTCCTCCAAACTATTTTTCACGTAGAGAAATTAATGTAACATTTGATACTATTTCATTAACTAAAATAGAAGGGGAAATGGTTGGTTTATAAAAATAAAAGTCCTAAGTATTTTTTTTCTTGTGGAGAAATTTGAGAGAGGTTTTTTTCGTTTTACTGCAGCTTTGGAGATTTTTTTTTCCTTAACTGTGCAATTCCTAGTGAAACTCAGTCCCGAAGAAACAAGTTCAATCTCAGCCATATCTTACATGGATTTTTTGTGAGGTCAGGCTTGAAGGATCTGATAGGAAATTGGAAGATGAAGAGGAAGCCGTGGTCATGTTATCATCAGTGCTGCCCGAGGCACTGCAGAGATGTCCTATCTCTGTGCTCTGAGAAGCCTTTGGATGCCCAGGGAGCCAACTCCAGAGGACTGCTGACACCAAAGGGAGCTGCCTGTGGGTCTCTGCCTCAGCTCAGAGTTCCTCTTTATTCGTGTCTTCTAAAACCTTCAGCATATTTTCAGTGCTTAGCCAGTACCAATATCCTGTGAACCTGGGAGGAGGAAGCTGCTTGCAGTGCTTTTTTAAAAATGGTATAATAAAGCAATGGTCACCTTTTCTGAGACAACGGCCAGTAATAGGCAATTCTATTTTTCATTCTATCCTTTAGAAACCCATGTGAATAGATAACTTAAATCTCATTTGCTGTGAAATGTGCTGCATGGCACTTTGTAAGTGGGTTGTGTTCAATGCTGAATAAAAGAATGATATGTCATGAACCTCTCATTATTTTAATTTTCAAACCTATTGTTTTTCAAGTTGATGAAAGGCATGTGTTATTCACAACAAAATGGTATTGTTTTACTTCATTTTGAAACATTTTTGCAGTGAAAAACATGGCCATGAGTCCTCAATTTTCCATTACAGATAGACAACTTTATTGTCAGGCTGATAGTTACGGGATTATATCTTTTCTGGAAATGTTGAAAAACCTGCCACATTGTAGATAAATTTCAATCTTGCTGGCAGTGGAAACTCCAAAATAGACTTCAGGTGATGCTGTTATGAACAGCAGAATCAATCCAGTAGTTCAGAAGGAGGTAGGATTAGGAAAAAAAAAATTAAAAATAGAAGAGCACTGCTCACATATGGAAATTAAAACAGTCACTGATGACTCCACAAAGAGACAGCTCAAATTATCCTCACAATTATCAGGTAGAAGACTGCAAATTATGCTCCCAGTTCACAAAGAAAAAGCAATCTAGAGGAGAAGTGCTGATTTACATAATCAATATCATCCAAATTCAGGGAGGCTGCCTTTCAGCACACACAAAAAGAGAAAGGAGAGCAGGAGACAGGATTTGCACTAGGCAGATAATGGAAGAAGAACCATGCTGAGAGAAAACTGAGATAAAAGAAAAAGGACTTTAGAGAGAGGAGGCAGGACAGCACCACCTTGCCTGTGTGCCAGTCCAAGCGTAAGCTCTATGAAAGCTGAAGTGGGGGGGAGGATTTAAGGAAACTTGTAATGTTCTTAACATCATCTGAAATGGAGAGTAAGCCTTTGGGCTGGTTTCTTCCAGCCTAAAATTGTACTTGAAGTTACAAGCATTTGAAGATTTCCACAAGTTATAGGCAGATCCTGAACACATCTTTTAACTGCAACATTAAAATTCTCAATTATATGTTCAATTACAATTATAGTTTTCAATTACAATTACCATATTCCAAGTGCCTTTGCACTGTGATGATACAGTGACTCAAACCTCTTTGTTTCACACCCACCTCTTTCTTATGGTGTACAGACTCCAGGAGACGGATTAACAGCTCAGGAAAATGAGAAGAATGCCGTGAACACAGTCACACTGAAAAAGTCCTTTTCCCCCTGAGCATCACACCATCCACTGAGCAAACACCCCTCTGTTGTTCTCGCCTGGATATTTCAACCTGCACATCCTGCTTCAGGGGAGAATCTGAGCATTCACAGATGTCACTGCAGCCAAGACCCTTTTTGCAGTTGTGACCTGCAAGGTTGATGAAAGCATTCATTTGGGCTTGTGGCTGCAACTGCCAGACCTGTAAATGGAACAGACTCGATTATATGGATCCTGATCATACTCAGCTTGTTCCAAAGGCAGGAGGTGATTCTCGTGGGATTGTGAGCGTTGATTAGCAGGGTGCTGGTCCTGCAAGATAGGCTTTGGACTCTATCCACATTCTGAAAAGGGCTTGGACACATTTGCAGCTTTAAGCATATTTCCATGGCTCAGTGGAGTCACTGGGACCTCGTGAGCTCAAAGCTGGGACAAGACCAGAGGAACTTCTGGAAAGCAGTAGTGATGGAAAAGAGTGTGCTAGAGCAGGGTACCAGTACCAGGACTCATCTCTTTACTGCTGTGTGTGGCTGAACAGGCTGTAGCCCTTGCAGGGCCCTCCCAGAGGGAATGCTGCAGGCCACAAACCGCAGGGAGTGCAGGTTTGTGTGGGAGTGTGTGGATGGATCACTGCAGTCACAGTGCAGAAATGCACGTGGCAAGCGCAAAGGCATCGTCCTCCTCAGATGCCTTCCTTTGAAATGAAGGGCTGGAGTCAACAGATTGACCTCTGAAAACATATTTGGGTGTGGGGAAACTCCCTCCTGCTCCCATTGGCAGAACTCCCTCTGACTCCCATCAGGAGAGCGCCACATCCAGTGCCCAGCATGCCACATCCTCTGGGTTGCTGAGGCAGAGCCACTGCTGGCTGGAATCAGCTGCCAGAAAGTTGACCAGAGCTCTCTGCTGCTCCAGGCCATGGTGAATAATGCAATCTCCACAAACTTGGAAGAAAACTAAAAATAATTTTACAGGGAAATAATATATTCTTTCTAATCTGAGTCAAACCTAAAAATTAAACAGCTATAATTATCAAACCTAATTTAATTAAAACTAGCTGCTCACCATCTGGTGTTATTTGTATAAATTTGGAAATCTACTATTTCATATGAAATTCCTCCATTTAACAAATTATATTAGAGAATATATTTCTCCACTGTAATCATTATGGAATTGATAATTTTACAAATTGTATTTCCTTCCACTTGATAGAAATATATTTTGTATAATAACAGGCAAAAGATCAGCTACTTTTTTCTTCAAAACTGAATTACTGAATTTAAAATTAAGACTTGCAGCATGCATAAAAATAATTCACAGAAGTAAAAATATGTAGGATGAAGCAAGATTTTTTTATGTCTCTATATTAATTTGGTCACTGTAAGTATAAATGAGAACTCCACCGGATTTTTCTGTAGATGCAAGCACATATTCACACCTATAATATTATATGTCTATTATGTGTATGCATACATTCTATAATAACTAGTGAAGAACAACAGTTTGATTGGGGGAGCACTGTGCACTTTCCTGTAAAGCTGTAGACATTTAAAAAGAGACTGTCAAAAATGTATTTATTTTTTTCCCGCAAGACATATAATGATCATTTTTACAGTGTTAAGTATATCACTGTAGAAACTGAAGCTAAAATAATGATGAGAACATAATGAGAAGACCACATATTCATTGGCACCTAAATGCTAGTCTATGACATAGCCAACATGGGAGTCATAGTTTTCTCAATGAGTTTAAAAAATGCCTGTAATTTTTGGCATGTAGGTATTTCAGTAAGGAAGTAGAGCAATGTATTAGTATGATAAAAAATGATCCATTTAAATGGGCTCAACTGGACATGTTCACAGAATGTTACACACAGTGGCCATCTGTGGGAAGCCACAGGATGGAGCAGGATCACAGCAAGGTACTGAGACAGCAGCATGGGTGCAGTTTAGGGCATAAGTTACTTAAATCAGATTTGGAGACATGGAGTTTATTCCAGCTTGCCTGCTGATCTGCTGTATGAATTATGTATAAATAAGCTCTGTTAGTCCATTCACGTCACATGCAGATTGTAAACACGTGTGGGCAGCGGATGGTTCTCCAGTTGCACTTGGCTCAAGAGCCAGAACCTCTTAGTGGTGGCCTCCAGACAGCAGTGCAAAAATAAACAACACCAAAATGCACAGACCAAATAAATAATTCAAAATGGATGGTGAGAGGAAGGAAAGGAAGCAATGGAGAGAAGGTAGAGGGAAAAAGTCTTCTCTAAATCTTAAAAAGGCACATTTTTCAGAAATATGTTTACACCTACAGTTTTGGCATCACCTGTGGCTGCAAAAACATGAGTTAATCTGTAAATCACCTATCTGCAATCCCCTAAAAATAAAGCAGGGAATTCCCTTAAAGTGAAGTCAGGGACACTCCAAACTCTCCACAGTGACCAGAGGCCCTCCTCAGAGTGAAGCATTTGTTAGTAACAGGAGTATACAGAAACAACAAGGAGAATAGTGTTCATTTTTATCTTGTTTAATAAACAATTATCTTCCACCTAGGAAACTTGGCTGGTCCAAATTTTCTGGGGCTCAGTAGTGAGCAAGATACTTCCACACATCTTTCCCTTAAGCAGCACCCAGTCTTTTTCCTCACCAACCTGGTCTCTCTGCCCCAGAGCTGCCTCATTGCAGTGGGCCACTCCATTATACAATAACTCTTTTTCACTGACAAATCACTTGCAGAACTTCACCCCCTTTTGACTCATCAGTATTTATAGATTAGCACACAGCAGCACTCATTCCATGACATTTGGTACTTTGCTTTTTAACAAGCAAAACAAATCCAACATGGCTGAATTTTATACTTTGCTGCTGTTAGACTCTATCCTGATGGGACCCTAAACCCACAGGTGTTCTTTGGACCTGAGCTGCTTGGCAGCAGAAGGGGATGAGCAGGGAACAAAGTAGCCCAAATGCAAGATGCTCAGATGTATGCAGAGAATGCAACATGACAAACTGCTAGGTTTGGTTAAATTGGGACTGTTAATTATAGCAGTTTAAATTGGGTTCTGACTCAGATTTTGAATTTGTAGTGGCAAGATGACAGCCTGGAGAAGGTGGTTGTAAATGGCTGACTCAGAGGATGATGATCAGCACGACAGAGCCTCCTGCCTGTGCTAGTACTATGTGTTTATAGGAGAGATGTTATAAGGTGACAGACTCCAGTTCAGCTCCACCCCGTGATCTGTTCACCAGGCATTATGGAGACTGGAAAGACCAAGAGAGCAAATGGAGGAAGGAGCATATTAATTGGGTGAGTACAAAATGGCAATCTGCCATCTCTTCGGTGCTCTCTCCTCTTCTTTCCATACGTAATACTGATTTTCCAGATTCTTCTGTAGGCTGCTTCTGACTTGAGTTGATGAAATGGCTTCTAAGGGAAGGATGACTGGGAACTTGGTGTCTCCATGCAGAGGCTGCCAAGAGGATGGACACTTGGGAGAAAAGCTCTCTGATAAGAGGGTTAGAAAACCTGCTTTAATTTCTGAGCAAATTATGCAAAATTTGAACACTGGTCCTAGAAATACCAGATGCTGACAACTCCAGTGTCTTTCCTCTCCCCAAAGTACTTTTTTTCCTACCAGTTGTCCTTGAAGTACTTTCAGTCCTGCTTTTATGCAAAATGCAAATGTCCAAGATTCCTTTCCCTGTGTACTAATATGGATTAGCTCAGCTGCTCAATTGATTGTTGAAATTCATTTGCAAGCATTGTAGGTGACTAAGTTTTGTAACTGTAATTTGTGAGTTACAAACATGGGTCAAAAATCTAATTCCACAAGATTAATGTAGCTAACCCATGCTTTGATCTTAGAAATCCTTACACCAGTGCTTGGCTGAGGGCACTGTCAGCCAGCCTCTGAACAGGGAGTGGGGAGGATTTGTTACAAACTACTTGTGACTGAGCTAGAAGCCAGGAACTATACGCACTAACATCACTTATCAGTTGCTTGTAGAAATTGTATATAGAACCTGAAATCATTGTCTACAGATCTCTAACTCTGATCTAATAATTGCTAGAATTGAGAGACTAATATATTCAATAAATTACTTTTTTCATCCATTGAATAGCTGAGAACAGATTGTGATTCCCCAGTCTATTTGCTATTCAAATGAATTCAACAGATACCTTTTCTAATCTTTAACACTGTGGTCTGAGAGCAAATATCCACTGCATGTAGTGGCTGGTGCTCTGATAAATCATATGCATCACTGCTGTTTTCTGACAGGAACACTGTGCAGATACCTCAGCTGAATCCTTGTTTATGCAAGCATACAACTGGGTTTTCAGAAGAACTTCCATAAGAGGCTTTAAAAACTGTTTCCTCTTGCCTTTTTTGTTGTTATTTTGTTACCAAAGGTCTCTTTTCCAAACTATCACTGAAAACAAAAGGAATTTAGATGTGGCCAAAGAAAACTTATTTTAAAATCTTTTTTTGCCCATCAGATATCTATTAACACGCAGTGCATGGGGCCCTGATGCAGAAAGGTGATTTATGATGGGCATAGCTTTCAATGTGCTGTCATGCTCCCATTTAATTCTGTGTGACTGTGCAAGCAAAAAATGAAGTACGAGCATATTTTTGGGAAGATCAGGACCTAAGCAAAGACTATCTGAAAACTTTCTGAATTATTCAGCTCCAGTAATCACTATTTGAATAATACTCCTGAAAGAACTAAGTCAACCATCACAGTTTCACTGTTCTGTAGACAACCCAAAAAATGGAATGTTGACACTATTTCCCTGTGCAAACAAAACAACAAATACGACAGTGAGCATCCACAAACATATGCAGCCTGTAAGGGGACATGCCCAAGAGACACTGACCCTGGACAAAGGAATAGTCATTGTGAATTTCTCAGAGGTGCCAATGGGATTTTTTACAGTGTAACTTATTTCACCAACCAATGCTTCCTTTTATTTTTCAAAATAAATTTTATATTTTTTGGAAGGAAGCAAGAACATTTCTCAAGGGCTTCCAGGAGGATTTCACAGAGTTTGGACTGCATGTGGCTGGGAGGAGGAGGAGGATGGGAGAGACCTAACAGTCTGAGATCATGTCACCCTATTTATTAATCCACAGCAGAATTCCTGCAGGTAACACCAGGAAGCCTGACTGCTGGCAACAAGAAAACACTGATCTTCAAGTGTTAACTGAACTGTAATTATAATTTTCACAGCAAAACACACAGTTTCCTGGGAACTATTTTTGTGTTAGGTGAACACTTCCTGGTGGCTTTTGTGCCACTGCTTTCCAGTCTGGAGTCCGTTCCTACAACCAGAGATGCCCTGCCTTCAGGTTTATGTGCCTGCTTTGTAGAGAAGCCATACAGATCCATCACACAATCCAATTCTCAGTCTCTGCTGTGATATAGATGTTCTGAAGGTGGGAAGAAACCCTCTAGCAAAGGCATAAAATCAGTGGAATGCCTTTCCCCAGACACAAACGTACGTGTAGCAATATGAGAAATGTTCTAACCTACATTTGTGCCTGAAACAACACAGTTGGAGAAAGGAACAAGGCATAGGTACAGAGATTTGCAGTTTTTGATGTCCTCCAGGGTAGAGATGTAGTGACAGATTGCCTAGTCAGAGAGAAGGCTGGGAGAGATGGAAAGATGAGGCAGGGTATTAGCCCCTTCAGATCAGCCTGAAGTCTGGGTGAGCAGCTCTGTTACTGACTTTTGCCATTTGTGTATTTTTCTCCTTCACATGGTTTCCATCGAGTTATGGTATATTCCACTGGCATGTTGTGGTGTATCACCTTCACTTTTCCCCCACCCCTCTGAGTACATTTGTGTCTGTGTTTGCACCACAGAAGACACTCATAGGATATTATAACCAGAGACAGCCAAGCTCTTCCTCTGGGAAGCTACAATCGACATTGCCAAACTCCAAACCGCAATGCTTCCCCCACAGTCGGTAGTTTGAAGGAACCTGGGAATGTTTCCCTGTGCCGGCGTTTCTCCTGCCCAAACTCTTGCTGTGGTGGAGAGGGTCCATGCGGTAGAGACCCTCAGAGAAATCAGTTTCTGCCTCCTTACTATGGTGAAGCAGCACAGTGGATGGAGGAGGCTGGATGGTTCCAGAAACTGAATGCTGTTCTGGAGAATAAAAAAAGTCAGGGGGGCAAATAAAATAAAATGACCAAAAATCCCCGACACACAGGCAGGCAGTAGGCAAATGGAGAGTGAGTGACAAGAAGGGCTGGCAGGTGCTGCGGGTCCTGTGAGTGTCGCTGGAGGGCACATTCTCAGCTTTTTTGCTTGTTGCACCTTCTTGGGGCTGATGGCCTGCAGCAAAGCAGCCATAAAACCCGGCATTGTTTCAAAGCAGTTGCTCGGTCATGCTTGAAGGGTTTGTACATGTTTGTTAGAGGTTGCAAGAAAAAAATGTGACTGAAAAGCATAAGGCAAGCCCTCGGGGTAGATGTACTCTGTGAGACAGTGTAATCTTGTCCTGCTGCTTACCAGCTTTGCACCTGGTTAACTCTAGGTCAGAATGAAACCATATAGTCAGAAGTGATTATTTGTGACCTCAGACAAGAACATGACCTTTCTATCTATAGACTCCATTGAAATGGCAATACCCTGATTATGGAATATTTCTCAGCTAATTAGGAATGCAGGCTCTACAGGTCACTGGGAGTTCATACTATTCCCTTGGCATAAGCAGATGTGTTCAAGATAAACTTGTACTAAACACATCAACAGCTCCACACTATCTCGTGTGCCCTGGGGAGGAAAAAAAAAAAAAACAAAAAAGAAAAGGAAAGGAAAAGAGAGACAGCATCTCACCAAAGCCTAAAGAGCCAGATGACTCCAGGAGCTAGATATTAATTTATGAACATTAAGTAAATAATTGTCTTTCGGGTAGTGGCTCCTGGGCTCTACAGCACATGGCTGCCAATATGTAAGCAGGACTTACTGGGGAGGTGCAAATCTGAGGCCAGGAAGATATGCTGCCCAGCCTGTAATTCCTGCAGAGCTGTGCAGCATTCATGCAGGGCCAACGTGGGTATCTGTGCTGTGCTCCCAGCTTGGAGGAGTTAGGGGTCACAGCACATAGGCACTCAGGTAATTATCATCACAAGAGCCTGTGCAAACTTGGTGCAGCGACAGCTTCATTTCTGTTTCTAACTGTTTGTACCTCTATTTTTGTCTTTTTCTTCACTCTATGTCCCCTCCCAGACCCACTACAGGCTTCCTGATTGCTTCCCAGCTGCTAGCTAGATTCTGCATTCCACTTTATATCTCCTTCATCTTTCCTTGCAAACCCACACATCTTCTCTAAACTCTATTGCTCTGCTCTTTGCCTGATCTATTTTCCCATTTCTCATTCAGATGGATGCCATATTCCTGTTGCAAGTTTGTCCAGGATTCCCTTCTACTCATTGTTCTTGCTATAATTTCCTTTCTATGGCAAAGGACTGCTTTCCAAAGAAAATTGGTCATGTTTCCTGGTGAACTTACCTGCCTCTGCCCTGCCATCAATCTTCTCTGTACCAACAGCTGTGATTCAGCTGGCAAGCACCACACGCTCCTCAAATTCATGCTCAAGGGAGGAGAGTCCTGCTGGCCTTGCAGGGCCAGCAGAGAAGCTGTGTGACAGCTGCTCTGTCTCTGTGAAGCCGCTAAGGCTCTGCTGTCCCAGAACGACACTCCGACTTTCCCAAAAAATAGCAAGTGTTTTATTTTGTTGGCCAAGCAGGAGAGCTGAATCTTTCTCATGCTCATGACTTATAACTCTTCATGTGACAGGCCATGATGGTGAAGGCATCTGCTTTGCTCTTTGGGAAGCAATTGAATTTCATCTGCTGTATTACAGAGTGCTGTTCAACAAGGTAGCTGATGTCGGAGCTGCTGTCCTGGCCATTTTCTGAGAGGATGATGTACTGCCTGGCTGTGCCTAGCCTGCACAATGAACACTGTAAGCACAGCCCTTGTGTGGCTTTATCCTGCAGGACCTGGAAGCATTTGCAGCTGATAGAGATGCAGGATAGCATCAGTGATCCTCATCAGTGATCCTTCAAGTGCTGAGCTGGGATTTTGTCCGCACTGCCCACCTCTGTTTTCACGGGAAAAGAGGTGATAAATAACAGCCCTTTATGTGCCTCTGCCTGAAGATTCACGGGTGAATCCTCCCCTCCTGTCTGTGGCACTAGTGAGACAGAGATAAGCAGGGGGATGCATGAGAAGCCCCCGAGGGGTAAGGGACATACCTAAAGCCAATGTTGGTTGTGTGCAGTGGGCACAGTGCTTGTGAAGTGGGAAAGAAATTGCCATAATGTTGGAATTAACATTCCTGCTTGAGCTATAAAGCAACCAGGACCTTATGACTTTGTGTGTCATAACAATCCAAATGCTCCTGGTGGAGCTAGGGAAGCTGGCAGGAGAAGGTAGGGGACTGCAGAAAGCCATGCACTGCTGCCAGAGTCGAGGTCAAGCAGGTTTGTACAGGCTGATCACCCCAGGATGGATACATGCACTGCCCTTTCCCATGCAGTAAAACCTCTTCCTCAACACAGCAGATACATCTGCACAGAGCTGGTCAGGAGACAGGAGGGCCAGACAGGGACTTGCAGTGGTACCTGTATTTTCCTTCTCATTAGCAGAAGCACCATCTCAGATTTCTGTTTTATTGCCTTGACTTCCTTAACACCATTGCTTGGGTGAACAATCACATTCTAATGCCGGCAGTATTAAGGCACTGCAGTAAATAGGGGCATTTTTAACTCAGAGCCATTTTTCTCTCTTCACTAGGACACTTTATGTATTGTTCAAAACTGAAAGACTGAAAATACAGTTGGAAAACAGTTTCTCAGTGGCCCCTGTGATGTCTGTGCTAAAATGTGTACTGAAGGGGAAATATCTCATCTGCCATGTAAAAGAAATTCAAAGATATCAGCCTCTGAAAAATATGATGCAGGCATTGAACAGGTCTTATTCTATACCCTGAGATACCTACACAATACAGTGTAGGGGCAGAGCCTTTTCCAATTGTTCTATCTACATATGCTCTCTTTAAACATAAACAAATACCTTTCTGCAGAAGATGACTGTGCATTTTCTTCTTTATTGTCAGCAAAGATAGAGATATTTTGACTGATGGAGTCATTCAGATGGGGAGGGAACTGATGTTCCAGAGTGTGTCATGATGTCCTCCACACATTGACAGCTGGCTCCAAAGTGCCTCCAAAGTTGCCTCTTCTCTAGGCTGAGAAAGTGAGGTCCCTCAGCACTTCCTCATGGGGCCAGTGCCCCTAACCATTTTGCTGGCTCTCTGAATTTGTCCCATTCACTGGTGCCTTTCCTACACATCAAGGAGCTCAAGACTGGATGCAGTAACTGATGTGGTCTCATGAGTAAAGAGGGATAATCCCTTGCCTTCAGCTCCCCAGCAGGGAGACACTCACCTGCATCACATGGAAATAGATTTCCCTGATATATGCAAGTAGCAGGCAGATAGATAATGATGTCCCAGTGAATTACTTGTTCCAGTTGTGGCCTCAGTGGATTTCCACTTCTCAAGGCCTCTACATATTTTGGAGGAAAGCATAAATGTTTTCTTCCAGTGTCATGTTGGCCTTTGGAAATCTGACATCACTGTCTGGTCTCCTCTGAGACAAAGGGAAACTGTCTATAAAATCTCTCTCCTTTCTGGTAATAATATCTTAAATAGACTTTGGTATTACAGCAGTAAAGTAGGTTACAATATTTAATATCATTTACCTTTCATAGTGGACCTTTGAGACAGAAAACTAGTTTCATCTTGAGTTTATGAATATGTAAATGACGCATGGCAAAATGAATAGATTTATAGGTAGAAAGACTGTCACAGAATAGGAGCATGAACTCATATCTGCTCAGCTATCGTGCTCTGTGTTCTGGCTACTTCTTCTTTCCTGCTTCTATTTTGGTGCCATGTTGCCTTCATGGATGAGATGACTTGTATCACTGCACTCTGTCGAGATGTGCAGCAAGATGCAATCTGATCCCACACGTCCATGGAAGTGGGAAAACACTTGGGTTAATCTATCAGCTCATCAAAACAGAGAGCCCCAAGGGTTCCTGAACTTTGTCATCTCCTTTTTATCTTATGCTGCCCTGAAATGAGCTGATTTTTCATGCTGTAAAATGACAACACAAAAGAATGCAGAAAGTTAATTCTTCAAATGCTGATCCAGGAGTACTAGTGGAATAAACACAATCTTCCTTTTATCTATTCTGCTTCTCTGTTTGGTTTTAGCATTGAAAAGTCTCTGTCCCTCATTGCCTTGTTCCAGCGCATAAATCATACATGGACCTCTCCAGCTCCCGCTCCCTATTTCATTAAAAAAATGGAATATGAAAGGTGTGCAGAAGCCCTGGAGGGAAGCGACACAAACCCAGATGTTGTACGATCTATGTCCCAGCTGCAATGAGCCTGCATGTGGCAGCTGCCTTTGCACAGCCATCAACAACAGCAGCTGGAGGGGCTCTGCTGTTAATGGCTCATCCCCCAGGAAGGAGCCAGTGTGAGGGAAAACAGCAGGCTTTATGTACAAGATATCACATTGCTACGCTTTATGTTTTGGTTTTGTTATAAAACAAGCAAGAACCTAGAGAAAAAGAAAGCAAAATTAGATATGGTCCCTTGACCTAAAAGTGCCATGAGATTACTGCCTGCCCCCTGATTAAGCCCTTCCCTTTTCGATTCATTCCATAGGAGATCAAGGTATTTATTACTGTATGAACTATTCTAAATACCTTTTCTAAGGCAATAAAAAATAAAAGTGGTCTAAAAGCAAAATGAAAATGAAAAAATAATCATGAGTTTTAGAGCCTGTCCAGTGAATGCATATTCCTACTGGGATTTTTTTCTCATCCTTGAAGAAAAAGGCATATTTTAAGACAAATAAAACAAAATAGAGGTTTATATCCTCACTAAAGAAAAAGTAGTTTCCACCTTCATTGTCACTGTGTTTTGATATATGTTTAGTTGTGTTATATCCTAGGATCATCTAATTTCCATATAAAGTGTAGCTACTTTCAGTTTTACTATATAGTGTTCAGGGGAGACTTTGATTTGTGTGCCCTAGGGTAGACCTGAGAAATGCATAATTTTCTTTAAGTCCCTTCTGTCATGCACCATCAGTAAATTCCTGTGCAGATTATAACATGGATGTTTAGTCAGAGGTCTGCACTCCCACGGAGGAGAGTGGGAGGGAAAATAATAAATGTGTAGACCGAAGTGGAAAAAAAAAAGGTAAAAGAAAAGAGAGGAAGAGAGAGAGAAATTCCATTAAGAAAGGTTACTGAATCAAGAAGAATTTATCAAAAGTAGACTGGTGAGAGTGGCTCTTGAATTTTTATGAATTTGTGGGGGCACACTAGTCAGTCTGCTTTGGACTGTAATTTCAGGTAATAGCAGAATTGGGACCACTAGGGCATAGTCTGTCACTGTTTCTAATCTCCACTGCTCTGGAACAACAGTTACACATCAATTCAATTAATCACCAGTGATAACAAAAGTTGTTTTTTTCCCACTTTAGAAATCTTATTTTTTTAAATTCTTTTTTTTTTTTAGTGCAGAACTTTATCAGACACAATTTCTTTTTCCCTTGCGAAGAAAAGCTTATGAAGTTCATTTATACAGAGAGCATAAATCCTATCTCCTACTGTTTTCCCCTGTAACCTAACATGAAATATGGCTTATAGCTCAACTAATTCTCAACATTTAGTGCGAACTGATGAAAGCAGTTCATCACTCACAGGGATGCACCAAGCTTGCAGCAGCACACACAGACCAGGAAAGGTGCATACAGCAGTGTCATGGAGTGACACATACAGTCTCATATATAGCAAAGCAGCCAGGTATCTTCATGATATTCACTGGGGATATATACCATTAAAAAATGAGTGCTTCCCATTTTACAGCAACACTGTTTCTCTTCCTTGTCACTCTTCCCCCTCCCCAGATTTATCTCCTTTTCTTAATGACTCCCTTTTTTCAATTTGTGTCTCTCTCTGACAGATAATACTTTGTCTCCTTGTTCTCCTGGCTTGGTTTGTGTCTTGCCTTGTTTGCTGCTCATTATTTGCACTATTTATTTGCAGGACGTAGATACAAGAACTTGCCCATAATCAGTTCAATAATTCCACTTCAAAACAAGCCATTCTGCTGCCACATATAATCCTGACAACTCATTATCCACCAGCCCAGGTAGGTCTGGCTATTGCGTATTAGCTGTGCTGCAACATCAGCCTGTTTCCCTTGCCTCCTACACTTTAATTCACTATTAAATTCCCCTTGCCAAGTTTTACCTTCAGTTGTATTACTGCAATGGGAAGGGAAGGAAAGGAGCACAGCAATGCAGCAGGGATGGCCACTCTTCCTGACTCCCCAAATACCACTCTTTTCTGGTGAGTACACTTGAAACTGTGTTTTCAGCTTGTGACATATAAATTATTAGAGCTGACATTTTCAATACCTCCCATCTGCAGCCTGAGAGATAACACTTGCCAGCCTGCAGGCAGGCAGGTGTGATCACCCCATGCAATGGAAGGGTAAACTGAGGCATAGTGTGAGGACATGAACTTGCCGAAGGAAGTCAGCCCTGCCCCTTAGATCAATATGTGCAGCTCCTCTGTCAGGTGGAAGAATGAGACAAAGCTCTGTTGAGACACAGATGCACCCCATGGAGGAATGACTAGGAGCAGAGCAAGAGTGATGGTCCCAGGGACCCTAGATACTCCACAGGACGGGGAAGTTTTCTTGCTGCTGCTTGCAGGAGGACCTCATCTTAGAAGATGACATGGGGGATGGTCTCCATGGTGAACAGTAGTATCTTGCTATGTTCTAAGAGACAGGAAATTCAGACATTTAGTAAGGCAGACAAGGACCTAACCACATCCTTCACAGAGAGGCAGGAGCATTCAGGTACAGCTCCTGTATCAGTGTGAAAGGAAAATGTTATGAAGTTTACCAGGCAGCAAATAGGTCTGTCTTGTCTCTCCCTCTCTTCATCAGTCAGGAAAGAACAGGTCTATTTCTAGTCATGGAGACCCAACTAACCAGAATGTTCCTTCTTGCACAGTGGAGGACAGGGAAAATTTCACAGCCTGATTTCTTTCAGATGGTTTGTGTAAGAGTCAAGCATGCATTTGAAGCTGAGCATTCACATATAGCTCAGAAGATGAATCAGAGTTTTGGCTCTGGTTCCTCTGCAGAGACAGCAGCCCCAGTGATGACCAACGTGGTGGCTCTTGCATCAGCTCCTCAAAGTGACAAATGTCTCTGACTCAGTGTTTGTGCCAGGCCATACAGCACCACCTGGCTCAGCCTTTCAGGTACTGTCACAGCACAGTATGACCAATGGAAACAATGGAAAGAGACTCTGATTTTTTTGGACACTCAGTGGAGCAGTCAGGTAAGTTCATCCACCACTGCCCTGAGGAAGGTCCCAGTCAGGTGTTGTGCACTCCAGCACCAAAAAACATTCACTGCACACCAAACTGCTCCCTTTTGTAGCACTAATGTGTGTCCCCCCTCCACATCAGGCATTCACTCTCCTGCCCGGTGTAGGGATGTGCTGTTTATTCAGCACCATTCCACACCATCCCCAAAAGCGCAGTCCGCACAAGCAGAGGCAGCACTTAGAGCCCATTTTCAGTGCATCACTGATATGTGACCTCTGCAGCAATGCCCGGGGTGACAGGAAACCTCAACATTCTGACATGCCAGTTCTGTGCAATCCTGAGGGAGGTAAGACAAGCTCCAGGCTTGCTCCAGCAAGCTTTGGGAGAGTGGATGCAGATGGCTTTAGGAGACCTCTTCACACCTCTTTTATATCTTTGCTTCTGTTTGTTGGCTGCTTCTGGCTGGGTTTGGTGTCAATGCTTAGGTCAGAGAAGACCTGCTCCAGCTGAAGAAATATTCTCAGCTCTTTTGCAGTGATTGAGTTCCCAGCTGATGCCCCCAGGATGGGAGGGTCTGAGTGCACAATAGAAGTAATAGCTTGAACAACTGGGCAAGGGGGCGTGTGCACTCGGAATGCTCTGAGGACAGAAATGTCTCCTGCTTTTCTGCTTCTTGTCTGTCTTATTCTTTTTGCACCATAGGGCTTTTCTTTTTTCTCTAATCACCTTCCTAAGCTGTGCCAACTGACTGCAATTTTCCCCATATCATCCCTCAAATTCATAAACCATTTTATCCTGGGTCTCTCTTGTGGTTGCTCTTGCAACCCTTACAGAAAATTTATGCAACAAGAAAGGGCTTTACACAGGAAAAGAGCTGCTCACAGCAAAGGGCAGAGAGTCAGAAGGCCTTGGGTGGTCAGTTCAGCTTCACATAAAAGCCAAAGAGGGATATTAAGCAGAGGAGAGAGCAGCAGTGACAGCTGCCTGCAATGACTGTAGCAGGGCTCAGTACGGAGTGGTGGTTGCGGCTGAACATCTGGCGGGCTGAGAACACTTCACTGTGAGCTGCCCCTGCCTGGCCCAGCCTCTCCTCTCCCTCAGGAGCCCTGCTCTGTCCCACCCTCCGCTTATGCTGTGGGGTGAGCCCGCCCCAGAGGGACAGGCCTGATCACACCACCGAGACACATCCCTGGCTCTGTGGTTTGGGACCTGCTGGCTCTGTGCAGCCCCAAGGCTGACCACACCTACCTTTGACAACTGGAGGCTTTTTTGGCGCTTTTGCTCTTATCAAGTCAACGAAGAATATTTTTATGGAAGGGTCAGAACAGTGCTGATGAGCGCCCTTTACCACCCCTTGCACATTTAGCTTGCTGTATCTCTTGGTGAAATGCCTCTATCCTACCTCTGTGAAAGTGGTTTCACTAACCTTAATGTCTGATTGAATATCTTGTCTCTTAAAATCACTGACTGCCTCTGCCTTCCCTGTGCCCCATTCCTGCCCAAGGGCTGGGCTTCACAGAGTCCTGGTGTTTCTTAATACATTTAAGAGAAACATACTGAAAAGAGTGGAAGAAATATAAGTACAGGGATGACCCAACACTCTGGGACAGTAATTAATAATCTAGGATCTAGTGCAATAATGGATGAATTAGGGGAGCTGTCAGGAAAGAATGAAATATAGCAGGTATAGGCTCAGCACAGTTAAGAGAATTGCAGATGCAAATACAAAACAGGTTATCCATGAGTGGACAAGAGTAGTGCAGGGAAAGAACCTGGGGCAATCAGTCATGAAGAAATAAAGATGAGTAGTTAATGAAAAGCCATAATTAAGACAAGGCAAATATGCTCTTGGGATGTATGAGAAGGAAAGTAATATGAAAAATATTACCCAGAGTGTTTTGTCAGAGCAGCTACCATCAGCTGAGGTGCAGCTACTAGCAGTACTGGATTTGTACCTCTCGAAGGTGAGGACAGACATTGATCTTCAGGCTGAGAATACTCAAGAGCTCCCTTCCCTCCCTGGGCCAGAAAAGCCTCTGTTTGTTAACAAACATCCATACAGTGCAAGGTCAGTCAATTTTCAGGCTGTTTCAGGGGCTGAAAGAGCAAGGAGAGCTTAAACCTTCCTTTCTGGATCAGATGGCAGTTTTCACATCTTTATATTTGATGTTCATTTTTTAAATCTCTTGTTAGTACACAGTGGGGTGATTCCTAAAGCTACAGCAAACACATGTGTGGACAGAGTTTATCTCCTGCTCACAGCATGCTCTTGTACACACTGTAGAAATTATACACAATGGTGGCCAATGCAAAAGGAGATGTGACATTGCTGAAATGCAAGTGAGAGTCTGCTGAGCTGCAACCAGGCAGCATCTAATGTCTGACTAAAATCACGTGGTGACTTCTTCAATTTTTCTGAAAAAATTCCATTCAGCTCCCATTCTGTATGGCCAGCAGCATGAGGAGAGACAGGAGGGCAGCTGGCAGTAGCAGGATGTCAGGCCTCTGAAGATAGCTGATGGCTGGAGGAATTACAGTGCTCAAAGGTGGGATGTCCAAAGGTCATAGTGGACTCATTGCAAGTGCTTGCCTGCCTTATTGCTTTTGGAAATTTTGTCCACCCACAGGAACAGCTACCCACCTGGGCTACCCAAGTCAGCACTCTGGTATGGTGGGAGACTGACCCATAGCAGGCAGAAAAATGTGACTTAAAGCCGCTAAATTCCAAAAATTATGGGGTTTTCATGAAATACAAATCACTTGAACTAAACTAAAAGCAGAATGTGTAATAGAGAATGGGTAACTGGCAAGATAGGCATTGACAGGTAGTCTCAGAATGCAACAGAAATGGAAATGCCAGTGGAAATACCAGCAAACACAATGAGCAGAGCAGGAGTCTCCTGTGGTTCTTAATAATGCCAATGGAAAACTATTGCTGCCATCAGAGTACATTTCCCAGATGTAACCATGTTGAGCCATGTATCCCTTATGCTTTTCCTTCATGGTGGAAACAGGAACCCTCTCAGCCCTGTTCCCTGGGGACCCTACCCTGGTCTGACTGTGTCTTGGCTGCCCATCCATCACTTGCACTGGAGCTGGGCGGGCACTGGGGCACGGCGATAAAGGGAAGGGCAAGGGTACCTCAGACCATCTAGCAGGGAGGCCCGTGGGGCTGATTTTACTTGGTCTCTTGTTTCCTCCTGTGTTTGCCTTGTCAGGGGACTATCCTCTGAGGAGACTGATGGATTGTACGTTGGGATAGAAGATGAAACCAGGAGAAAAACATTCAGTGCTCAGGAGAAGAGGAAAATTATGAGGAAAACAAGGTGACTACCTACCCAACTTCCTTAATCCTATAGAGACAAGAAGTTACTTTAAAAGTCAATATTCCCTCTGTTTCCTCACCTACCTGTCTTTGAAGTGAGCTCTTGCCTGAGTTCCTTTAAATTCTACAAGGAAAGGGGAAGGAACAGGGGTTGTCTTACCTCAAGAAAAACATCCATGCTGATAACTGTCTGACTTCCCTTTGATGTAGTGAAACTTGAGTCTCTAAGTACCACCACAGTAAAACTGGACATGCTGGGCTCTATGCCCATTTTATTACCTTGGTTTGCCTGAAGCTGTGGAGGGACTTTTATGATCAAAAGATTGTTGCTAGTAGACAGGAGGTTGGTCTTGTGCTTCCTGTCCCAGCTGGGCTACAGCAGCTGACATTGCCATCTTAGTGGTGGCTTTTTGCTCGTTAGATGCAGTGAGTCCCTACCCCCTCTGACACACAGGAGAGAAAACTCCAGTAAGTGTTTGCACATCTAGAAAGCAAATGTGATTCATTATTAATACAGTCCTGTTAAAAGTGTGTTGCACTTTAGAGACTTTAACTGATTGACAGGTCCCTGACCGAAGGAGATTTCTTTCTATGTTTAAGCATCACAGGACAGGTAAGCATGGCAAACAAAGGAAGGGTTGGATGGAAGAGGTTGAAGGGCCACAAAATTAATATTACATGCTAGCATGGTTCATTAAACAAAAGTCTTACACACGATGAAACTTTGCTGGCACTAAAAAGTCTGTAAGGTTCAGAAAAGAATTTGGTATTTTACTGTTATGAGTAAGTTTGAGTGGTTTCTAGGGAGCTTACCTAACTCCAAAACCTTACTGAAACCGCTGGAAAAAGCAGCAGTTTTCCATGAGGAGGTGTTGAGTAAGTGTTCCTTTACTCAGCAGTAGTTATGGGCTCATGTGAAGATCAGGACACATAGCGTGGGGGTTTTAATGCAAATATTTGAGAGCCTACTTTGGGGCTGTGAGTCAGAGGTAAAAAGATGACAAGAAATCCTTTCAGAAGTTATAGTCTAGAAATAGCAGGTGGAGAAACTGCTGCATGGCCTGGGGCCAAGGCTACGGGTCAGGCAACCTCTTTGGGCAGTATTCTGGCTGAAAAAAGAGGTTTCAAATTTTGCTAGAGGAAAATGCTTCCTGTGTTATTGGTGCCTAAATAAAAAAGGTGCTTCAAAGAAATATCTGATCACATACCGATAAAAGTCACAGTGAAGCACAAATACAAGCTGCAGGAATTAACCAAGGATATGTCCAGCTAGCACGGTAATAAATTCTGGCTGAAGTTACCCCCACACTGCAGCCTCACCTAGGGCTCTTAATCATGCTTTAGCTCCAAATTCCCTATTATTCATATACCAAATCCTTTGAAATCTGACTTGAGCTCTTAGGCTTTCCATGGCTAAAGATATGGCTTAAAGGGGTTGGGATGCCTCAGACAACTGGCGTTGAATTGGGGAAACATCTCCTGTCCATATCGCAGATTTTTGTAGTGATCGGTGGGGTAAAATTGACTCTGATCCTTTCAGTTCTTTCACACTCCTACCTTGGAATGCATGAACCAGCCTCTGGAGGGGCTTTTCTTCTCTTCATACTGAGACCCATGGGTGCTCAGCTCCAGTGTCCAATTAACCTTTGCTAATTTGCAGGCCTGTCCGTCAAATAAGGCAAATCCCATTGGAGCTTGACTGGCAGTGGCCAGGAAACCTTAGTGAATCTGCTGAAGAGAATGTCATGCACAGGGGTGCCCTCTTTCACCCCATTCTGTACATTTTCTGCTCTCTCTCTATTTAGTCTTCTGAGACATACAAGGGCATGTTTTGTTTTCATAAGCACAAACCACTTTTATCCAAAAAACAAATTTACCTTTTATTTAGGTATCCAAAGAAAATTGCACTAGATAATTGTGGTCCTGATTGTTTTCATAGGCAGTACAAATGTGTCTTCTTTGCTTGTTTTGTTTCATTTTAGTTCATTTTTTCTTTTCCACATGCCTATATGACGGGGAAATATTGAGCCTGCACAATGTATGCAAACACAATTCGTGGTCTGAGCAAAAGGAATCACAGTTGGGTGACATTCTGTAATTCATCAAGAGGTCTGACACTGTTATGAAAAGACACTTTTCTGTATTTTGGAAAACCTTTTTCTCAACAAACATTCAAGTACATTGTTTGATCAAGCAATAATAACACTTTAATCTACCTTGTGTATTCTCTTCAAAATAAGAGGTCAGAGAATAATAGTTCTCTCTGGCTTTAAAATGAATCCTTTAACAAATGGTTTTAGATGCAAAGATATGGTGAAAGGATTTTTCTTCCCTGGAGAATTTAATATTTTACTGGAAGAAAAACATGTCCATGTAGTCCAAGGTGACTGATAATGGGACTTATTCTTTTGGTGTCACAGATGTGTATCCCACACAGATGTACGGCTCCCCTGCTCTTCAGCAGAGGCACTCTCGAATCAAGGTCCGATGCAGTTACTTCCTCACTGCTATCAATCACCTCTGGATTAGGCCTTCAGAGGATAAAGGAAGAAGTATCTTATTCTCTTTATTTGCATCCTTAGCCCCTCATTGACTCAGTATGAAGAAAAGGAGACTTGGCACATGGTGGCAAAAACTCTGTACCTCATGCAGAGGGAGTGACACAAGCTGTGAGGTAGGTAAGACAGGTGCAGAGCAGCTGAAGCACTGTGGAGTTCACAAAATTCAGTCTCACTCCCAGCTCAATGACACCAAGTGATCAAACTGGTACAGGATTCTCCTATTCCTCACCTGCATGTTCAACTCCTGACCGTGATTGCCACAAAATATTACTGATCTCAAGCACTGATTTAGGAGCACCTCAAATACCTGGATGTTTCTAACAAAAGCAAACAATTTTGAGCTGTGCTTCTTTCTCTTACCAAAAATTAAACTTGTGCTGGGATCCAGTGCTCCCAGATTTGCCCCTGAAAAACAAGTGCCAGTTCTATCCTAGTTTTCCTGGATATCTTCTTTTGCTACCAGGCAGAAATGGATACTTCCATAGGCCAGTCCATCCCACACATCTTCCATACCTTCTACAGAAATGTAAAGTGTGGGTGTTACTCCATGCTTGATCAGGATTTTGTTCACTGCACAGTTAGCTCCGAAACTGCATAGCAAAATTCTTTTCTGTCTTGGCTGTTCCTTTGAAAAAGATTAGATGCCTGGCTGCTTTCAAATTCATTTAAAAATCTAGAATGCAGCCAGATAGCACAACAGTCAATCATGACTGTTTTTATCAGGACCTCATCTGTTTCAGGATGTCAATGGAAGTTCTGCTTAACCAGCCAGAGTAGAAGTTGCCCTAAGCATTCCCTCCTCCCTCTGGCTATTATGTTGCTTTGCCAGCAGTTCCTGTATGTCTTCTATAGTTTTAGGAACACCTTTTGCTGGAGGTTAGAAAAGTGAAAGCAAAAACTGGAAAGTTAAATTCAATAATAAGCTAATAAGGATAAATAGGCAATAGTGTAGAAAGACCATTTGTCTGAACACAAAGCTCTGGATATATATGGCCATGTTAGAAAAGGCAACAGTCAAAACAATATCATAAGGACTTCTGTAAAGCTAAGGGGTCAAAGTGGAGAGCCAAGATGATATTTTTCTACCTGCAATTTTTAAGCATTTCTAATGACACAGGACTTTCAAAGGAGATGGGGAAAAATGTATCTTTCAAGTTTGCCTGTTTGGCAGACAGTAATTCAGCTGAGCTAAGCAAAATGAAGCTGACAAATGCCACTATCCTTGGTGATAAGGGTTTTTCTCCTTTATTTTTAGTGAATACAAGAAGGACCCAAAATTTTTCCTACAGAAGACCATATCTGGAGATTTGCCAGAAAACTCAGGGTCACTGCCTTGTTTAAGATGGAGTAAAATAGAGCTACCTAAATTTTTAATGAGAAAGTAAGACCTGAACAGAGCACAGCTCCAATGTGCCACGCTAAGCTGCTGCCAAGGCTGGCCATCTTGAGGAGCTGCAGCCATGGGTTAAACCTCTGTGACCCTTCAGGGCTCAGTGGTACACTCACAGCAGACCATGAAACATCAACCTTGGCTGATGATTCTTTGAAAAATCAGATGTTTTCACTCAAAAAGTTGTTCTTTAAGGTGAAACCCAAGTCTGCAAAATTATTTTTCTCTTCATATCTTTTAATAGAGATGAGGAACATTTTTTTTTTTCCTACTCAAATGAACAGCCATAATTCTAAATTCCCTGCAGCATTTTAGGTAAATTTCCATTCCTTCCTTTTCATGGAATATATACTCCTGGAAGGACCAAGTGGAGATAAGCTAAATAAGTACAATGAATAATTTTATGAAGACGAAGGTGATTAAAAAACAAGTCCCAAATTTTTGTGAGCCTCAGACTAATTTCCACCTCATTGATGCTGATGTAGCACATTGCAATTCTGAGATGGCCTCTCATGTCTCCCTGATGTTATTGATTGGAGAAGGTGCCAAGATGAGAACCAGGCTCTGCATTTCATATTTTAAGGTCACTTTTAACAAATGAGCTCATTTCACACCAAGCTATCCTAGAGCATCTTACCATAATAAACACAATAATTAACAAGCCCTCTTGAGGCTTGCAGAATAAGCAAGCCCTCTTGAGTAATTTTCAGGCATGGGGCAGTTGACCTTTTGTAAGAACTTCATGCCTCTCTGCTAGCCCATCCCTGAGGCTCTGTCACAGCCAGCTCTGGCCATAGCCCTGCTGAGAACCTGCTTCTCCTCTTCTGCCCTGTGCTGCCTTGGGCTGCATCCACTTCCTGCTAGCCAGGTATCCCATGGGTGTTGGGAAAAAGAGAGCACTGAGCTGCCATCTGGAGCTGATCTCAAAGCTTATAAAGCTTCCCCACATGTGCAGGGGCTGAGTAATCACACAAGACCCTGCACGCAGACGGTGCAAAGCAGAAAAGCCCCATAGCACCCAAGGAAAGCCAGGGTTTTTTATATTTCAATTAGTTTATAAGAGCACAGGCATTGTTGAAATGTCATAAATGATGAAGTAATTTGTGTTTAACTCAATTATTTTGTTGTGGGATTCACCAGAGCTCTTCAATTCAGGTGACAAACTGTGTTTTGCTAAACAACCAGGATAGGCTGCGTGTTAGTCACCAGTTTGTCTTGTGGATGCTTCAGCTTGGCTGGAAAAGGAGGGGGATCTGCACTGTAGTCCCATTGCAAAGAACACTGCCAGAACGATGAGGAAGGTGATCCTTCCTCTCTCTGTGCAGCCCTGGATGTCTGCAGTGCTAGGTTCAGATCTGGGCTCCCCACTACACAAGAGACTTTGACATACTGGAGTGCATCTGGGAAGCTTCTTCGTGTCCCTCTTCTGGACTCACTCCAGTGAATTCTGGAGAAACAAAAACATCTCATTCCAGCTTCTGCTACAGAGAGGGGGCAACCCAGCCTGAACATCAATGCAGTTTTCTAGAGAGCACGGACCCTGGAAAGTTGTTTGGTATAATGAACACAATCCCCATTTCCCAGACGGATGGTGAAGATAGAATAACGACTGCTGCCTAAGGAATTTAATTTTTTAGAGCTAAAGGGCTGTCTCTGTTGGGAGAATTCTACTCCTCCACCCTCGGCCCCTCAGTGATGCTCCAGGAGAGACTGGCTTGCAGCAAGAGCCCTGCTGCCTCTGCGATCCTGAAACGATAACCTTCTTCCAATGCCAACATATTCCCAAGCTAACAGTCATTCAGCTGGGCCTTCCTAGCAAATCAGAACCTCTGAGGTATCCCAAAGCTGCAATGGCTATAATAAACATTCAGAGAAAACTTCCTGGATGTCAGCAGAGGATAGAGCAATATCCTTGCAGTACTATGACAATTTTACCACATAATGGTAGTTCTTTCCATGCCCCATAACTGCAGGTATAGTGGGATGATGTGATCACTGTGAGGTCTGGGTAGTGACGTGCAATCTGAACACATGACAAGACAAATGTTTTCTTATTTGCCTTTGGTTAAAAATTATGATGATCTCTATATTTACTGTATCATTATGACCTTTTTCCCAGTTTCCACTTCCACTTTTGAAGATGGTCAGTTAGCTGCATTTACAAATTGCCAGTCATCCTTAGCTTCAGAAGAAAAATTTCACTGCTAAATTAGTACTATCATGTCCTCTCTTATTAGAGATTCTGCTATTTACTTGTATTTCTTTAAGATTTCATTTCTCTTATTGTTGGAATTATTAGAAATATCTTACCTCTATTTGGTATTCTCCAGTTTGGTAATATTAGATTATAGTTGTGGAAAAATATATAATCCCTTGTTTATAAACCTGGAGTCATGCATGTAGGCAATGTATCATCCAATAAATTTATTTGTTTGTATTTTCCCAGTGGTGAATCACTTTCTTCACACCACTGTACTCTAACTTCATAATGGCATTCATTATCATAACATATTCAAAGCCTCTGTCTGTGCAGGTAGTAAGGATTTGTTCTTATAATCAAGATAAATGGGATGGGAAATCTAGTAGCTAGTGCTAAGCTAAGTTACAGTCACACTTTAGAATAAGAGTTCTACATTCATTTGTCCATTAGAAGTTTATACCTAATTTGGATTAAAACCAGGTGTTAGCTTCTGGGCTTTCCCAATTCTGTTCTGAAGGACTGCATAGAATCATTGATTCATAGAAGGGTTTGGGTCAGAAGGCACCTTTAAAGGTCATCTAGTCCAACCCCCCATGCAATAAGCAGGGATGTCTTCATCAGGTTTCTCAGAGCTCCATCCTGCCTGTACCTAAGTGTTTCCAGGGATGAGGCATCTACAGCTTCTCTGGTCAACCTGTCCCAGTGTTTCACTGCCTTCATCATAAAAAAATTCTTCCTTGTATCTAGTCTGAATCTGCCCTCTTTTTGTTTAAAAACATTACTCTTTGTCCTATTGCTGCAGGCCTACTGTAAAGCCTTTCCCCATCTTTCTTATAAGCTCCTTTTAAGTATTGAAAGGCCACAGTAAGATCTCCCTGGAGGCTTCTCTTTTCCAGGCTGAACAATTCCAACTCTCTCAGCCTGTCTTCATAGGATAATTTTTGTGGCGCTGTAGCATGGTGCCCCCAGCAAAGATTTTTTTCATCCTAAACTCAAACTTTTCTCTGTCTTGGGCTTTGAGATGTGTCCTACCCTGCTAAAATGATCTCTGTGTTTGCTTTCTCATGATAGCCACATTTCAGCTGCTGACATGCCTTTCCTGCTGCAGATATCAATAATCCTGTGATTTTTAGCAATGTAGAAGGGGAAATAAAGGCAAATCAAGCTGCTGAGTGGCTCACTTAAGTAGAAGGGTTTGTTTGTTTGTTTGTTTGTTGCATTTGATGTAAGGAATTGGCTTATGCTGAAGATGACGCATGGAGTGATTTGTTCTCCACCCAGAAAGGGCAAACAGCTTTATTTCAGCAGAGAAGTTTAAGCCATCTTTGTTTTAGCTGGGAAACAGATTATAAAAGATATCAATGCTTAGTAGTTAGGGATGTGTACAGTGTAAGTTCTGGGATCATTTTGCTTTAGGGAATTTTGGTAAGACATCTGCAATAGTAATATAGCAACACATACATACAATAATGATGATAAGGTAACCATGGCAATGATGATAAGACAGAACTGATTCCAATACACACATATCAGCCACAGAGGAGAGATCCATGAACACAAACAGTTTAAGAAAATGAGTATGTCAAATGCATATGCTCAGGCCTAAAAGCCACTTGTGCAAAGCGTAGTTGCTTCACCCATTAGAATATTGTCTGCCCTCTTGTTTCTTTTTTTTTCTTGTTAAAGTAGAGAAATGATGAACCTGGAGGGTATAAAAGGCTGTTTGATAGATTTGCTTCCTTGATTTTAGCAACAAAGTGAGTTAATAAGGATTTGGACTTCTGAGGCAGCCATACAAATATACAGTAATAATTTCTGTTTGATTGGACAGGTAAAACAAGTACAGGACAAAATGTTTGAGCATTCCTACTTTTATCTCAGAATAAACCTGAATTCAGACTCAGAATTTATTTTAAAATTAGAGGCAGCAGTTTCTGTCTGAGATGCCTGTATTACCATCAGAGGCTGACAATGGAGTGGCAGGTCTGGGAATGGAGGTGATGTGCAGGCCATGTGCTGTGCAGGCCCAGCTCAGGCACATGCACAGCCTCTTACTTGTGTAGTCACAGGAGCCCAGCCAGGCTTTACAGCTCCACTGCTGAGTCCCAGTCTCTCTCAGTCATCCACACAGCGTGTCACCATCCAGGTAGCACAGTGATCTCATGGATGTAAAGAGGAGGAGCCCATCAGGGAGGGTCTTTAGAGATGAAGAACAGTAGTTTTTCAAGCAGTAACCAATCTCATAAACCTGATTCAGAAAAAATTCCCATTGATTTAAGCAGGAATTTTCCTGTGTTGGGCTTACAATATTGAGCCTTCTGCAATGTATTTCACAAGCATTTGATTGCAAATATGGTTCACAGGTCCATAGGCTTGGATTAGCATTGTTAAAGACACTGAAATTTCCACTCCTCCATCTTTCAAGCTTGCAGCTTCATGGCAGTATCAACTGTTGCTTTTTTCCTCCTTGAAGCAGAAAGAAAAAATACAAATTTGCAACATTACAAATCTGTTTTGCATAAGTCCTTGGGCCAAAGCCATCTCTCATGGAACTCTGTTGCCTGGAGTTGTATATATTTTCTTTCTGCATTTCATTCCAGAAGTGTCATCACTGTAGGCAGTAAGATGATTTGGTAAGAACAACTGCAGAGATTATCACAAAGAGATCCTGATCTCAAACCTAATCCAAATCTCTGTCTAATACTCTTCACATTAAGTCCCAGTTCAACGTTCTGTGCAGTAAATGATGCACTTGGCATCTCTTGGACCAGGCAGCAGAAGAAAAAGATGAATGCATAAAACAGGAAATGGATCATGGCCAATTAGTGGTGCAGAAACCATGGCGGGTCATTTCCAAATAACAAATGAGCCTGGCAGGCTGGCATGTATTTGTGCAGTGACCTGGATCAGGCAAGTGTTGAAGACCTTATCTGTGTGGGCTGGTTTTGGTGCTGCAAGATGAGCTTAGGAGGCCTTGCTAGTCTGCAGGCACAGAGCAGCTGTGTGAGGGAAAGAACAAGAAGAACTTGAGATATAAGTCAAACTTGTCACTGCAAGACATTTACAAATCATCTGAACTGTGGTCCCCATTACTCAGAGCCTGCTTCTGTCCAAGAGAGATATCCATCCAGCAGGGAGGAGGAGAGGAAAGTCAAAGCACAGATACCAGCCAATTCCTTTTGCTGTTTTTTTTTCCCCTTCAGTTTTTAAGAGGGAAAAAGGCATCTGAAGAGCTGGCAACTTCTAATCAGGTCATTGGAGATCCATGAGCCCAACTGAGCTCAGAGCCCACCAGGACAGGCAAAACACAAACAAACCATACAAGATGCCCCCTGCTGGAATGGGGATGCAGGATAAAGAAGGGGAAGGCTGGAAGGGGGAACAGAGGCAGAGAAAGATGATGGGATTTGCCTTGGTTTGCTCTTGACCACAGTGGTGGGCACTGACCTCCTAGGAGGAGGTTAGCGACACCACATGATGTCCCCAGCTAATGGCTGTCCTGGTGGGTACCCCCTCGTTGATCAGGGTGGACCCCCAATGTACAGAGGCAAGATTCTGTTCTGATGTAAAAAAACCAAACCACCTAGTAACAATAACACTAGGGTTTTGATGTTTACAAATGTCACTGTTAAATGAGAATGATCAAATTAGTTCACTGAAACTTGATCTCAAGGTGAAATAGAACAAAAGATAAAAGGACCAGAAGCTTTTTATTTTTTTTTTTGTGACACCAGAGAGCACATTAGAAGAGACGCAAAAAAAAAAAAAAAAAAAAAGAGAAGAAAACAGGGAATAAAGACATTTGAAAAGCTTTCCTCACAGCTTTGTTTAAAGGAGAGCTAGGTACTTATATGTACTTAATATTTCTTACTTGTTTTTCAGGCAAAGAACAGGTGAGAACTCAAAGGAATTGCTTCTTATGTCCAATTGTATTTTCTTTCTGTTTTTTAACCTCACTGGCTTTGCTAGGTGGCTCAAAAGCATCTTACATCAGTTGTGCTTTAGACTTCTTTCCATCATTAAGCCCTTCAACAAATAGTTTTCTCCACAGAAACACTTGGGGGCTGGATATTAAAAACTGTAATAATTTCTGGAACCTGATGCATGAATTGATGAGGTATAGGTGAAAATGAAGACAAAGACAACTTTCTTGCAAAAGAGGCAGTTGGAATCACAGCCGGGAATTAGGCTGTACAATGTGTATTCCTGACACCACACAAGTTTTATTCATTCTTCTTTCTGAGCTTGTTACTGATGCTATTACAGATAAACATGTTGACAGCTCATCTTAGGAAAAGAAACATCTCATCTCTGTGGAGAACCACCTGCAGGATGGGGTGTGTGTCTGCATAATCTATAGAAATCCTTGGGCAGAAAAACTGCATCTGTCTAGACAGACAGGCAGAAAAATCTTCAATATTATTTTCTAGATCTTCAAGTCCTCAGTAAGAAACCAACCCAGGATTACCAGCTACTGTAGGTTGTGCTGAATTTTTGAGCATTTTTATGTTGAGATTGAAGCTGTGCAGAGAAAAGAAATTCTGATTAATGTAAATTTTCAAGGTCTTCCTGTAAGTTTTCACCATGAAACCCTTAAGCTTCAGAATTCTTCACAAAAATTTTTGAAGATTTAAGCTGCTCAAAATACATTTCAACAATGATACTTCATTGATATTTTATTTCTCATAAATGTTGTTACAATATAAAATAGAATACACAAATAAACAACTCAAAGGAAGACAATGCCTTTAAAACTAGAAACACTGATGTTTAATTCCCAAAAACAGGATAGTTCAAAAGAGGATAGTCTGATATCAAAGCTACTTTTGGTGTTCAGATGGGAATTTGGTGAAATTGTCATAGTTATATAATAGAAAATGGTACTGCTAGAGTTTTTTCCTGTCCAGTCCTCATGGACATCTGCTAAAATGGGTACAAATTATTAACTATTTATCAATATTAACATTTTTTGTTGCTGTACAACAAAGGCTATCAAACAAGTAATGTAGCTGGTTCTATGACGTACTTTAAAGGGAAAACAGCACTTTGTTTTATATGGAATTTTATACTCTTTACAAACGAATTTTTATTTTACCAACACACCTTTTAAAATTGTACTAAAAGCAACAAACTATTGGGAGAGTACACAAAAATATCTGATTGTAATAAATAATCAAATTACATTTTTAAACATCACACATGTATAATAGGAGATTGACTACTATTCTGTAATAGGGTCATAACACAATTGGTCCTATGGTACAATTGGGAAGTGACACTGTCACATTGCACGACCAGCCTTGGACATGATAGCTGTGTAGACAGGGTGAACAGAAGCTTTAGGAAGAAAAAGATCATTTTAGAGTCTAAAAAAATGCATGCAGAAACCCTAAAAGTTGGCCTTTACCCAAGACACTGTTTCTTATGGCCAAAGGACTTACAGCCACAAAGGAAGTCTGGGACCCCTCGTGAAAGAAGCTTTCTGAATTTGAGATGGTCATGAACTGGAGCTGAACAAAGGTACTGAACTTCAGAATAATACAAGCACCGGGGAAAACAGGAAATTCTGTAAATCAGGAGCAGCAGGAGGGAATATTAGAAGCTGGGAGGCTTCACCCTAGGGATTAGGACTGGGTCAGACTTCCAAAGGAAGGGCTGTGTTAACTCATGGGCTAGATGAATAGAAACAGAAAGACGTGCAATACCATGACATATGAGTTTATCCACTTAAAAATAACCCAGCTGTGAGCTGAAGTTTGCTACTGTCAGCTGACCATAGCTATGGCATTTCCATAGGTAAATAGGCCAATGGAGCTATTTCCACTGAACACAAATGTTTTGAAGACCTCATCTGGGCTTTTGCATGCAACTGTAATTATTCATGTTTCAGAAGGTAGCTTAAAATTACACCAGGCAAATGAAACACTCATAGGAACATCCAGGGAATGGAAACAGCTACAAAAGTGAAGTCTAAAAGAAGTTACATTTTATATATATATATATATATATATATGAAATATGGTAATGAACCATAAATTCAGTGCTTACAGTTACAACAACATGATGTTTTCCCAAAAGGATTTATACCACTTCCTGCAAGTTTGGTATCCTTAATCCTGCTGTTTTTACATTGCCTTTTATCAGTCAGCTTATGGCAGAGTTTGGCGTGTATAAACTCAGAGAGCAAATGCTGAGACAGAATCTGATTTCCACCCATAAATGTATTGAAGGTTGGAAAGGAAAAGAAATAGAGAGGAACAAGAGCTGATGAAGATTCAGGACTACATTGTCACCTGGACAAGAGATAAAATCTGGTCATAAGCAAATTCAGCCAGGAATTCTGAAGAAGGATTTTAACTCTCCAAGTTGCATAGCTGGAGAATGGCTGTGCCGTAGAAAAAGAAGGCTCAGAAAACTTAATTGGTTTTACAGTTTCATCAAACTGAAACTCAATTAATATTTTAAAGGAATTTCATGGCATTGCTCTCTGAAATAATTGAGAATTGGATTAAGTGATCCAGAACATTGCTTCTAATTCTATTTTACTAAAATACAGCTGTAAATAATATGCCCAGAAAACATGAAAGGCAACAAATTCTCTGAAAAAAAGCATAATAGGCAAAAGAGAAAATAGGTACAAAGGGCAGTGTCACAGCTCCAGGAGAAAGAAGAATCTGAACTGGAAAGCAAAAGATACATAGGGAAGGGAGAAAGCACTAGGCAACACATTAAAGTCATCTAGTAAAAAATACAAAACCACAATGACATTGTTTGTGTCAGAAACACTGTGATTTAGTGTCCTTATAAATATTATAGGCAATATGAGCAGTACACAAAGGGCTCTCACAGATGACCCTGGCCTGGGAGGACTTGAAAGGTGAGTCAGAATATGGAAATTACACAGAGTGACCTACTGAGTCTGGGGACATTACATGAGAAAATAACAACATGAGATTTCACTTGTAAGCATGAAAACATACCTGAGGCAAAATCCTCCAAAACACTTGTAGTCAATGGCAAACTGCTAGCAGGAATACTGAAACACTTTGCTATGAGAGTGGGCGGCCAATTGAACATAAGTGCACATTACAGTTTGGCTGCAAAAATGCCGATGCAATTTTAGGGTGAAGTTCCCTTGATATTTGAATCAAAGGCAATAGAGATCTATTTTCTACATAATTTTAATGCAAATGCATCTGGAATAACACACCCAGTTGGGGGAGTTGCTGTGTGTGGACAAATTGGTAAAAGGAGAGAAAACAATAAAAAATACCAGGATTCGAGACAGATAGCCTTACAAAGAAGATTTAAAAGCTCTGTGTGTATGAACAATAAAGGTCCTTTCAGCCCTGTTTTTCTGTGACTCCATTCTAAGCAGGTATAGATTCAGAAGACAGGAGTGCCAAAGGGGAGGTAATACTTTGGACTACTACATAAAATCAGAAGTGCCAAATGGGGGGAAACTAGCAACATGAAACCATAGGCTGAGTAGCAGGAAAATCTTTCAAGAGGTACTCAGCTGTAGAAAAGCTGCTGGGGGACCTGGTGGAAGCCTGGTCACTCAGGATTTTTACAAGGCTGGACAAAACATTAGAAAATGTACCATAGGGAGCAATTCTCTGCTGGCCAAGAGCAGTGGAGCAGATGATCTAATAGGCTTCTTCATCTCTAACCTCTACAGTTGTATGATTTCTTACTGTAAAGCACAATATTTCAAGAGGAAAAAGAAATAAATACAAGGTAAAATATTGGATGGTAAAAATCCCCAACAAACAAATACAAAACAGATGGAGAATGAATCAAGTTCTGTCCTTTTGCCTTTCTGTATTTAAAGGAGTTTGCTTCTGGCACATTGTTTCCTTGTCAGAGGCACTTCATTTTCTTTCGTCTCTTACCATTTTCTCTCTCACTACAAAAGCAGAAATAGCCACTTGGGACTGCTGATGTCTTTCTAAGGAAGGATGCTGCTCTCATGCAGTAGAACAGCATCAAGGCTTTGGTCAGTCAAAACATAAAAATCTCATTGTTTTCTTTGAAAACAGATTTCTTTTTAAATCAAGGCCCAATCAATTACATGCATCATGGTATATTCCCCAGCATGGCAGTCCTTCTCATCTTCTGCATTTTCTGCCTCCCCCCTTCCAGTACATACTCTCATTTTACAGCCTTCTCTACCCATTGCTTTTGTGGAAGCTGAGCTTTCACAAGTCCATACTATCTTTAGGGAGAATTATGTGTGAACAGCACATCCAAAAAAAAACAAAAACAGGGGCAGTAGTTCAGGTTGTTCAGTGTGTATTCATTTGTCCCATTCATCATTAGTCGGGATTGTGAGACCTCTGGTGACTTTGAAATTTTGATCAGCATGCCTGTCCTGATGACAGGCAAATGCACTTTCAAAGGGAATAATAAGCTGATTTTCAGAAGTCATGACAGCTTTCACATACAAACATGTCAGCTAGATAGACATGTAACACAAGACTATGCACCTCGGCTGTTACCTCTGTATGCCCTGGGGCACCTTCACAGCACGTGGTCCCCCTCAAACACCAGGGTACAATCCACATGAGATCAACAGGGTTACTGAAAACTTGAGGCATTGTTTCAAAATGCTGTTTGAGCAGGGGTTTCTTTGCTGAGGTTTGTTTGTTGGGAGTTTTTGTAGAGAAGGAGCATAGTAAATATAAGAGGGCCATTTGTAATTGTGTGTGTCAGAAAGTTTCCCAAAGCAAGAGCTTCAGCAACACTTCCTAAAGACAGATGCATAATACTACTTCCTCAAAACCTACTTTCAGATGGCAGTAATAATCTAACTGTGATTTTGGTCATGACAACACCTTTAAATTGGGTGGGGTTTTCATACAGGGAAAAACTCTTTCTATTTCTTGTGCAAATCACACATTCTGTATGCAGACTACAAGTACTTTATCTGTCAACAAACTGCAGCCAGATTCAGATGAATAGCTGTGATTTACCGCAGACCAAGGCTGCACTTGCACCATGAGAAGAGAGCTATTCAGCCTGAATCAGACTGAATCCAGGATCTTGGAGATTCTGCCTTAAATTGCCATGCACATGCTGGGATAGTTAGCCTGTCAGGACCAGGCATTTCCTAGGGCAATGTCCTCCAGCACATGGTTAGCTTTCAGAAGGTAAACAAACCCAGCAGAGATGCTGATGAGTAGCAAGTGGTCTGAAGGTGCTTTGCATCCCAGCTTCCTTCTTCTTCCCTTTGTCATGAGTCAGTCCTTCCCAACCTACTTCAGTCCTTTAACATTTTGACTTCTGGAGTTGGTGCCAGCCCCACTGCAGCTCAGAATATGCCGGGGGAAAAAATAGAATTAAAATCAATCAAAAGTCTGAAGTAGCCTTAACACAGGTTGTGGAAGAGTAGAGCCTTTCTAAAGGCAAGCTTGTGGTCAGAGTATACTTGCCTGGAGTATCTGAGGGAAGGGGATCTGGCTGAAGGGGCTGTCTTACAAGACATGGGGGAAAAGAGATTCCTGTTTGCCTTATAAAACTACTGACAGCACATACAGATTTGTCACGGTTTGTGATATTAATGATAGCGATGGGATGTGGGACTTTCAGATTTTACATCTCAGATTCATATTGCTGACAGCTCACTGCTCATCGGTTCCAGTTTGGGGCATCTTCTCATCTATTTTTAGCTACCTAAAGATCTGGCATATGGTCTGAGCTTGTCATTTCCCTTCCTTTTAGAATCAGTGGAGAGGGCCATGACTCGGTGAGCTGTCCTATCCTGTCCTGCAGGACTGTGAGCTTGAATGGGGATATCAAACTGGAGACAGCAGCGCTCACTGATCTACAAGCAAAGGTGGTTGAAACAGACTGAGAAAAGGGCTTTGCTTACACAATTAGGAAATCTGGTTTTGTGCTCAGCTAAAGCACTGTATATCAGCGAGAGAAGATATGAACCATGTCTTCACACTCAGGCCCAATGCCTTTAGAAATTACAATAGGCTCTCTGATATTTGTATTTGGCATGTCAGTGCATGAACACCCTTGCTTACACAGGATAATCATGGGGACATAAAAAAAAATACAAGCCAGCAAGACGGAAACACTTGCAAACATCTCTTCAGACAAAATAGAAAAGTCAGAGTACTGAGCTCTGCCTGACTTTTAAAACCCTCATTTCCTCACTCCTGACAGGTGTGATCAGGACACCATCCTGTTTGGGGACTGTTTTCTAAAGGAAACACATGCAGTAAATGAACCTTGATTTAAAGTTAGAGAATGACATGAGTCCAAACCATCTGGCTTGTGATCCAGCTTCAGCCTCCCTCTTTACAAAACTAAGGTTCAGCCTTTTTGTGTTGCTTTGAGGACTGCCCTTTGCTCCTCTTCAGGCTATGTGGTCCTTGTGTTCATACAGCCCCTGGGGGAAAAAAAAATTAAACCAAAGCAAAACAGCCCAAAATTCATCCAAGGGTTAAAAGGAATAGGTTGGTGGCTCGTTACGCCACGCCGAGTGCCCATTACTTTTGTTGACTTCAAGGCCGTAGTCACTCACAGAGAACGGGCCTATAATATTTACATTGGGATTTCAAGGAAGACTGCTCCTATAAATTAGTAAAAGGCATGAGTCATCCCAGCACAGTGTTGGATCCAAGAGATGCAGTTATCAGCCCAGCATAACACTCTAGCATCTGTCCAAAACACTGCACACCCTCATTAGCACGCTATTCCTGGGAGCTAAGCAGGCTGAAGGTTGCAAAGAGGTGCTATTGTTATACCAGGAGTAAGTCTTATGTTTTATTGATACCCAATAAACTGTGTGTTAGCCTGAAAGCACAGAGAAAGAGAGAGAAGGAGCAGAGGGCTGGAGTAGTCTGTTATATAACACTCAAACACAGGGAGTGGAACTGGACAAATCCTTTTCAATTACTTTTTTTCAATAAATGTCAGGTTTGGGGAGGAGGACCATCTGAGCAAATTAATAATTAATAAGAATACATTCATCCTGCTGTACAGCTGGACACATCACCTGTGAATAAATCCCCCAGATAATATATTTGTGGATCTTTATAATATTTTTTCATTCTGCTTTTTTCACCTTTTTTTTGGTGTCAGTCAAGTCCCAGTTGTCCTAGGATTTTCCTGGAAATCAACTAGCAAGATAACCACTTGAGGGAAAGGGAACAAGCGTGTGGACCTCAGGCACTTGGCTGTTCAGGAGCAGAAGTGATGTTTGCAATGATTAGGGCTCCTGGCAATGCAGGGAACCTGGCTGGTGAGCTGCACAGATTAGGTGATGTGACAGGACTCTGGAAAAGATAGACAAATATGGGTGCTGTGCACAAGCTGGGAATTACTGTGGGTGTCAATTAACCTTGCAGATCACAGGGTTTATTAGGCTGAATTATTTATCCTGAAGATAAAGCACTGAAAGAAAGTAAGGCATCATTAAACAGCACAGCCTTGCACAGAGTTTAGGCAGTGAACCAAGTTTCCGAACAATTTAATTTATTAGGGACCTAAATTGTGCTAGATTATCAAATCAAGTGGAATAGAGGGAGGCAATGCATTTTATGTTCAGTGTTCAGAATGTAATAAGTGTGTTATTCCATTCATGCCATCTCTCAGCCTGAGTTATGAAGAGAAAGGGATATTTCCTCTGTAGGGTAATTTTCCATTTTATATCCATTTTTAAAAACTGTCAAACTGTTGTCATGAAGGAAAAACATTTCTAGTTTATCACTGAAGCTTGAAACCTGTTAAATGTTAATGTAAAATGGAGCACTACATATAGTCCCAATACAATGGGAAGAAGCTTAACTGTTTGAAGTCTGTCTTTGTGAAGATTATACCCTGGCAGAAAAAGACAATAGGAGAGTTTTGCCTTGGGAAAAGGGAGATTGACAGGTCTGCATGTTTTTCTGCAATCAATATTGTAGACAGAGCTCTTCTTACATGGTGGGGTTCAATTAAAGAAAAAAACACTAGAATTTGGGGGAATTCCCTAAAGAGTTCAAATCCTTTCTGAGAGGAGGGAATGTTTTTTTCAAGATGAGCTTGCATGAAAAATTCATGCAGTGGATGGATACATTCATACAAGAAGAAATTTGATAAATAAATAATTGTTTTAATACTGAGTCACATAACAGTTGCTTATCCATATTGACCACTTCAGTTGCAAAACCAGTCCTTAGTGTAAACATGTGTAAAATTAAATCATCCAGAAAAACAAAATAAGGCAAAAGGTCGTACATGTTAACTGAAGCAAGTAGTTCATACTAAAGTCTCTCACAACATCCAAGAAATAAGAAACTGCCATATGCAGACAAGAAACCAGTACAGGGATGAACACAAAGAGCAGACAAAACACAGCATGAAAGCGGGTGATAAGCAGAGATTTGCAGCCATCAGGAAGGAGAGAAGAGGAGGCAGCTGCAAAGACAGGAGGCCGGAAAAGATAGACGAATTGAGCTGGAAATATATACAGTTACGATAGCAGCTATGAAAGCAATGACATGAAACTGCAATTAGCTAGCTGTACTCGACTGCTATTCAGCCATACTTGCAGCCCTCTCCTCATTTTCCCCTGTATTGACTGCATGAGAGTCAGTTATCTTTGCTGGAAAAGAGTTATGTATAGAACACCTGGGATGGGCAAAAAAAGCGCCAGCCTGGTCTAAGGTCTCTGCATCTCCAGGCCATGGAGAAATTCAAGAGGAGGAGCTCGGGGAGAGCTCATCAACAAGCACAGCCTGCATTTCTACTGCACTCCTTCCCCACCAGGAAAGCAAAATCAAAGAGGGAAAACTGCGATGCTTTTTCTTCTAGTAATTTCTGTGTCTTTGGCACCTGTCAGTTCCTCTCCCTCACCTTTTTTCCATCTTTGCATGGTTGTTTTATGTGTTGTCTCATATAGTTTTCTGTCCTCAGCCAGTTCTTCCCTGAGATATCCACAGCTCAATGAGCAATCCTGTAAACCTCTTTCCCTTCCTTTTTTGCACCTTTCTCCACCTGCCTTCTCCCCTACCCACACCCCTTGCTACAAGAAACCCTCTTTTGTGTTTCTTTCACAATCTCTCTCTGCACAGTCATATTCTTTGGCTATGTGATTCTCTCTGCACCAAGGGAAGCCCTCAGATGTAAGACTGAAATGGCCTTTTCTTCAGTCACAGGGTAAGCTCCAGTGCTGGCATGATCCCAGCAAATTAGATTAAATATTCTGTAAGAAGCTAGGAAAATTCTCACCATCACTGGCCCTTGATCTTACAGGGGACTTCAACTTATCAGATGTATGCTGGAAATATGAAACAGCACAAAGGAAGCAGCCTAGAAGGTTCCTGCCACAACTGGTGAGTGTGGCAACTAGGGAAGGAAATCATGAAATGGCAGAGATTGTTGGAGAAATAAGGAGGACCAGCAGAACTGCTAGCTGGGACTTCCAGGGGACAGACATTGGCCTGTTCAGGAGCCTGGCTGAGAGAGTCCCTTGAGAGGCAATACTAAGGGACAGAGGAGTCTAGGAGAGCAGGACATTCTTCAAGAAGGAAATCTTAGAGGTGCAGAAGCAGACCACTCCCATGGGCCAAAAGACAAGCTGGTGGGGAAGACCAGCCTGGCTGAACAGAGATCTTTGGCTGAAATTAAAGAAAATTACCTTTGGAACAAAAGGGCAACAACTTAGGAGGACTACAAGGATATAGCATGAGGTTGTGCAGGGACAAAAAAAAGGGGGCCAAAACCCAATTATAATTTAGGGCTATGGTTTACTGGAAGACTTGGGGGTGCTGGGTTAATGGTTGGGCTCAGTGATCTTAAATGTCTTTTCCAACCTGAATGATTCCATGATTTATCACCTTTTCCCTTCTCTGAAAGGGACTCCCAAAGACTTGCTCTGAGCATTTTTCTTGAACTGCTCCTCAGTGACAATGAGCTTGGCTTCCTAAGCAGACCAAATAAATGAGAAGAAAAGTCATGCCTTCCATCCTTCCCCCGTAACAGTAATTACCTTAGGAAAAGAAAATTTTTCCCATTTTTTTAGAAAGGAAGAGATAATGAACTCTCCCTCAGCCTATGGTACTACAATAGCCCATGCTCTGCTTTGACTCATGACTGGGTTAGTCAACTTCAAGTAAGAGAAGAGTACTATGTAGTAAAAAATACTAATTTTTAAAGAATTAACTAAAAACTAGAGGCTGGTGGTTTTTCTTAGTTATAGGATACATCCAAACTGCATTGCTTAGTCACAAACTGTGTCCCTTACTACATTACATTACATGTTTCAACAAAAAAGAGCCCCTCTGTGAGGGAGGCTGGTGAGCAGACCTACTTGTCCATTACAATGGTGAGGACAGGTTTTGGCAAATAGTGCTTGGACAGACAGCTAGGTTTATGCAAAATAACCTGAATCTCTGATTTATAAATCTGTAAAATCCATCCTTGCAGTAAAAGGAGAAAACTCATGTGCCTGTGCATTTTAAGGTCTTGTCCAAAAGACCCTACTACAGAAAAGTCATTTAATCTACCTTAGAGGGATGAAGGGCTGAGTCAACCCTGCTAGGATTTGAACCTATCACTCCAGGGAGCCTAATTATTGCAAATGTGCCATTTAAACCACTAAACCCTTCCCTCCTGCTCTAATCACTTCTCAAAGAGTCCGTTTTGATCCCCAAAGTTTACACAGCACCTGTGATAAAGGCAAAGTATTTAACAAAGTCTCTTTAAGCTGAGTATATCATTATTCATATTACAGCAGGTTTAAAAGAGCTGGGCAAGGATGAGAACATTGTGCTGCAACAAAGATCACAGTGGCAGCATCACGAATTGCTTCTCAGCTCCACTCTCACTTTTCTTTCTACTGCACAATAGAAAAACAGAGAGAGGAGAGCTGAAACAAACTGTGTGTGCTCCCTCCGTGCTGCACCCCTAACCACAGGTTTACTTGAAAGAGGTTTCATGTCATGTGTCTTGGCCACAGGCTGGTGCATGGCTGGAGGGTGACACCTGAGTGCGCCTTGTTCCCCTCTGTACCCACGGCAAGTGTCACCAGGAGCCATGCACTTGGGAATGTTCATGTTCCTGACAGGGGCATGACAGGCGCTCCAGGGCTGCAGGAGCATGGGAGCCTCGGTGTGTGGGCATTGGGAGGGCATTGGTGCTGTGGGGTAGCAGGTGATAAAATATCCGTAACAGGAAATGCTAACGACAGGTCCTTGAGGTTTTTGCTTTTCTCAGGATGTTGGTAGTATTTCTGCACAGTTTAGAAGGCAGAAGTGGAAGCTGAAGAGACTCTTTTGACAAGGCCCCTTGTTGGAGTTGGAAGGAAAAGCAGGGCTGAAGAATAAAAGGAAGACTTTTTTTTTTTTCCAATTCTGAGCTTAAAAAAAGCCATATTCCATGTTCTTCCTCAGAGATAACATTGCAGCAAATAATTTTGCCTTTTATTCCCTAGGAGAAAAGGGAATTTTTGTCCACCCTTCCTCCTTCCATTACCTGGAGGGGATGCATTTTTTTCTACTGACATGCAGAGAGACTAAATCTAAAATGCTAATGGACTGGCAGTGTTTGCAGTGGGGTGAACAGTTTTCTACTGGAAGGCTGGTTGGCAGGATACCGTCCTGCAGTCATTGAATCATTGCACTGAATCACAGCCATGTTGGCAGGATCCCATTCTGAGGAAGTTCACAGTACTGTCAAACACCTGCTGTTGCCATTGAATGATATTATGCAAGATCTGAAATTCTATTTATCGAAATGCCTATTTGATTTTTTCCCCCCTCCTTTTCAGTCACTAGTCTCAAATGACTGCAGCAAAACCTATTCCCAAGAGCATTTTAATTGAGCCTGATGCCAGGATACCAGTTCTCACAGGGTGAAAATCTGCTCTTCTTTGTGCTGATGCAGAGATTCCAAGGTAGCACAGGATATAAAGACACAGCATCATTCCTACAGCATGTACTCTGCAGTTACTCAGGTAAGAAGATCAAACAGACTGACTCACAGAAGCCAACAACCTTTTATTTCCCTTGAAAGCCCTAGTTGTACAGCCTGGTGGGAGAGTCCACTGCTATAAATAGGTTTTATCTCCTAGTCTTCTTAAAGATAGTGGTTGTTTCAAGTTTGAGTCACCATTATGAGAAGCTTGGCTTACACACAACTAGGAAGTGAACAATGCCAGGTTATGAGAGCTAGAGAGCAAGTATGCTCTTCTTTCTCTTAGCTCATAAGATACAGTAATTTAAAGTGGTATTTCACTGGCATAACCCATGCCTTCTGTCCTGCTATACATCCCATTTCACCTTGATGTTTTGGGGACCTTCCTCAAAAGCAGTAGCTCCACTCTGTCTCTGACTTGACTCCCAGCCCAGCTGGAATCAAGCACCTCTGGCACATTCCTGCCCCAGGGCAGCCCCAGCCATCCCAACTCTCTATGCAGCCACCTGCATCATGACCAAATCTTCTCCTTATTTTTATTTCTATGGACCTGACATTCTCTTTCCTGCAATCCTCTAATTTTGTCTGTTTTACAAACACACTCCCTGACTGACTTTCCTCAACCAGGAAATCTGCTCTCTGCACAAAAAAGGTCTCTTGCCCAAACTAAAATATCTACCTGGTTGGCAATTCATGAGGGGATGCCAGCAAGTTATGCCAGGCTGCAGCAGAGCTCTTCCTGTCAAAGCCCAGTCTTTCCTGCTGGTTCTTTCTTAAGCAATTGGATAACACTGTTACCTTGCATCAAACTCACAGTCTGTGTGTGAGCCTCTCACACCCATCCCCTAGCTTAAATTTCACCTTTTTAAAGTAAAAATAAAATCGAACTTCCTTATCCAGTTACACAATAAAAGCCTCAACCAGGAGCTCATTAACTGGGGTTTAGTTCTTGCTGCATCCTTCACTTGAGCACTAACACAATCTTGCCTTGCCAGTATTCCTCTGAGCACCACTGCAAAATCATTTTTATAGCCTGTCTGTTTGCTCATGTCAGCTCTCATTGTGAATCCCTCCACTGGCTGCCTTTTCTCTGTTGTATAAAGATATTGCTTGTCCCTGTGCTGTCATTTTCTTTTTAACACTTAGAAGATGATTTCTGTCTCCCATTTGCCCATGGCTCTCATCTCTGCTGCCCCCTTTGAATCTCAGACAAGCCCATTTTCTTTCATACCATATTCTCCTCCATGATAACACCTGGAGTTTCAAACAGCATGTCCCCAAACAGGTGTAGAAAATGCCTTGTTTTTGTCCTTGAAATCTTTCCTCTACACTTGCCTTGCATGGGAGAGTTACAAAAGCCTTCATACAGTTAGGCTGGCAATAAGTTCTTCACGATGACCCAGAATCCCTCTCCAGCTTCCTTTCTTCCACAAGAAGTCACCGTCTTTTCAGCAGATTGTGACACAATAGGATTTAACAACAAAAAAAAAGAATTCAAGTAAGTTTCTTTAGAAGAAACCAAACCAACAATCAATCAATCAAACAAAAAAAACTAAGCTCTATGAAAACTGCAAACCACACACAGTTTTTTACATGTATATTTGAACAGAGCCCAAAAATTAGTTTATATTTGTAGGAAGGATGTGACGGAACCTGAAACTGGGGTAACAGAGATTAGCTACTGGGATAGCAGTAATGCAGAACAGTGTCCAAAACCACTTTCCCCCCCAGTCATGTGCAGAGCCTGTGGCAGTGCAAGGCCCTGGAACCCTCTCACAGATCCCCAGTTAGAGCCAAGCACTCAGGCATTAATCATCTGCACACTTGCTGTCTTCAAGCTGATACAAGCTATTCACTTCTAAACTAAGAGCTCAGAAGCAATGGCTTTTAAAACCAGGAAGCAAGATAGTAATTAATATGACCTGTCTATCTCCCAGATTATTAAACTGCATTATGAATGTTTTGTTGCTGAAGATTAATTATGTAAATCTTCACAGGAGTCTCACACAACTGAAGGAAATATTAATGTTTGTTCATCAGCTCTGATTTTTAGCTCTCAGCTGATTTCTAAAGGTTGTTGGAGTTCTAGTCTGCTATCAACATCACACAATTACCATTAGCAGTAGCCCCAGTGCTTTGTGCTGCATGTAGTTAATAGCTCTGTATGCATGTGGTTGACTAGAGCTTGTCACAGAGATCCACACAAACACTGTCTGAACCTATGGAAATGGGAGGTCTGGAGCTGCAGCTCTGGCTGTGGTCACATCCACTGCAACCTGCTCCTAATTCCATGACCAAGAGTTGCCAGGTGATTCATGGAAAAAAATTGTTTAGTGAAAAATAAAAGAAGATGAATTTTTAAGACCATTGGAACATTAAATTTTTTTTTTATTATTACTTTTTCACTGTGTAATACAGATGTCATTCTAAAAAGCAACTTTAAAGCCTTGCATGGATTCCTTGGAGGTTTTTATGTGCTACTGGCAAGCAGAATCAGCTGAGATGTATTGTTTCTGCTGAAATTTTCATGAAGTTAAATTAAATTACTTTCAGCATGTCCAAAACTCATAGGCTCAATAGAAAAATATGTTTTGGCAAGATGGTATTTTGTCAATAGCAAGGTGCTATCATGAACCTGTGTCTTGAGGACTTTGTGGGAATGTGATCATGTGTTCAAGCTCCAGCTTTAGTTTTTGTTATCAGCATGTCCACTGCTCAAAGTCACAGGATTTTGCCACCCATGAACTCTCCTGGACAGAAAGGAAGCTGTAATGCAGGTGGAACACCTCATTACAAAAGCACAGTAAGAAATGAATTTTAAACATGGAGCAACTCTGCATTTTAAGTTTCAAGAAAGGTGAGCATCCTTGGCCACGCAGTTTCAGATTCAGGATTTCTCTTTCGTACTTCAGGCCTCATAGTCATTTAACAGTTTATCTTTGCTGCAGAATGGATATTTTCTTTTAAAAAATTAATCACTTTTACTAGAGCTAACCATGGGAAAATTATATGGCAAACCTGTGTCTTGTTGATCCCACATATCTCAGTACATTGTTGACCCTGAAACATAAAGGCAGAAATAAAAGATATCATTGATTTTCAGTCCTTCCCTAATGATCATGTTAGCAGAAAAATTCAGCTACCTTATTTGTTTTATACAATCTCCAAGCACCTCTGTGCCTCCTCAGGAGCCAAACCCAGCACTTATTAACACTCTGTTCCCCCGGGCTCCTTGTGGAACACTTGGTTGCTGCTGCTAGTGGCTTTCACGCACAACTGCACAAAATTAAAAAACAAGCGTGTTAAAAAAAAAAAAAGCATGCAAAATTAACATGTGAACAAACAACAGGGGCTACACAATTGATTATATTTTCACTGTCAAGTTGTATTAATTAAAGGTTCCCATCCCATAATTAAAATGAAGCAGCCAGAGAAACTCCACCATGTTTTGCAGGGTTGCTCTTAGGGGTTTACAATTATGCTGCCACGTAGTGCCCAGGGCTTTGAGTGAAGAGATCATTCTGATCAATGGCATTCAGAGCCTGGATCCCAGTTTTCATGAAGTACAGGCTTGTGACCCAAGGTTTTGTTCTGGCCCCATCTTTAATTAGAACCTGCTTTGGCTTTCCCTAACTCAGCTGCAATACTTGGCATGGACCTCCTGCATATTTAGATGACAACTAATGAGGATTTTTATTAAACTTGAGCCTTGGCTGGGTAGGAAAAGGGAGCAGCTTTTTAGCATCGGATGGAAAAGACTTTTGCCTCTGGAATATTTCTCAGCACGGAGCAAAGAACTGGGGGAGGAGATGGCAATAGAAATGCTGTCAGTGCTGCCACTAATGGGGCCTGCCTGGGGCACACTGTTTGGTGTCCCTTGGAAGGTGACCTTGACTGCTAACATTTACATTTTAGCAGCCATTTGGCATATTTGATTGTGTCTACAGCAGAAAACGACACAATTCTCTGAGAGGCATGTAGCTCAGATCAATGACTTCAATGCCACTGTCACCCTGTCCTACTATTCTCTGATCTTTGCCAGTTTGTCTGAAAGTGCAGGCCACAAGAGCACCACGGCACTGCCCCTTCTTATGAATGTGGGCAATTGATTCCCCACATCAAGCACTGTCCATACAGGCTGACTCAAGGTACAATCTGCAAATCAGCGCCCTCCTCAAAACAATAAGTAATTGAAGTGGGTAAGAAAAGCATTTGTTGTCCTATGAACCAAAGAGCTGGCCATTATTATTTGCCTTTGGTGTGATTTATCAGGCTTGGACATGTGGGACAGACTGTAGGTGTGTGCCAGAGGTATTGCTGGGTCAGATCCCAGAAAGCTTTGTGACTGCAGCTCCTGTCATTTCCTTACCCCGCAGGATCTATCTTGCAGAAGGTGGAGATTTGACAATAACTCCGTCCTTTCTGCCACATGTTTCAGAAGTTCAGCAGATGGCTGTGTGCTCCTACCACCTGGCCAAAGGGTGCTGTCACCCTTCCAAACACATGGCATTAGCACCTCTGAGGGGCAGGCCTACCCACTGATGCTGATGTGCTTTAATTCACAATATCAGGATGGCGAAGAGCACACATGGGGCTAGATAGGATGGCTTACCAGATGGGTGGTAATTTGTTAAGCCGCAAAAGCTTTCAAATGAGTAATCATAAGCTAAGGTCTTCAGCCAACATAAGAGTCATCTGGTTTTTCTTTAATATAATTGCAGAAAAAAAAAAGGAAATTAAAATTTTGGGCCATAGTGTGTGCCAGTTCTTAAAGTCTCCCTCTGCCTGCCCTTTCTGCTGCTGAAAGTTCAATCACTTATCAAAATATTGATGCCTTTTGTCCTGGTATATTAATGTAATGCTAAAACATATGTTATATTAAATATTAAGCAACTGCTAATTGCAGCATCATTTGGCCACGGAAAGAGGTGGCTCCATATCATCAATGGTTGTTTTCAGTCTCCTTAGAGATAACAGAATAAGCTAACTTTGCTCTACAGTTAGCTTTTCCTGTTACTCCATCAGCCTTGAACTTGAGAAGCATCGCATGATATCCTGAAATCAGTCTTGTGCTCCCTTTTTCATCACAGTTTATGTACATTGGGAGTCTCCATTGTGGGCAATATTGCACAGAGTATGAGCTGATGAAGTTAACACTGGATTTCAATGCAGTTTTCCAACTGTCCTCCCAGATAAACATGGGAAAATCACTTAATTTACCCTGTTTCTCTTTCGCAGGTATAAACTACAGGATGAAAACCATGGATGTTTAAGTTATTAAGGTTGTTTTCTCACTGCAGGTCATAGGAAGAAATATACATTGTAAAATCCCATGCTGGAAAATCTATGTTAAAGTCATTGCATCCAGCTATACTGTTGACAAATTCTTAAATGTGAGATTGTTTCATTCAACACACCTGGAGATGATGAGTGGCTTACAGGCTACAGTTACAGTGTGAGATGAATAACTGTCTGATTAATTGAACGGCAGTGATTTTTCAGAACAAGATGTGTAACACACATTCATTTGCATGGCATGAACCTCAGGCCTTAAAATATTTTCCAGATTTCTGAGCAAAACCAGCTTCTCACTGAGAGCTGCAGCTGGGGCAGCTGCAGGGCGGGACCAGTTGGAAGATCTGCGGAGATTAAGGAACAACAGATGCCCAACCTGTTAGGGGACAGGATAGTGTACACTAGAAACTCTGACCATACTGCAGTTTAGTCACTCTTTATCCTTCCAGTAGGGACAAGATGTAAAAGTTAGCAATTGGATTAATAATTAACATTCCCCAAGCTTCTTGGATGTGGTCTGGTTTTTGCAGCTTCAGATATACCACACTGGGCTAACTCCAGTCTCACAGATCTGGTCCTATGGCCCATGTTTCCCAAAATCCTAACGGTACTGGTAAAAACTCTGAGGCTTCAGAGCAGAAGTCAATAATTGGGAACTCAGGGCTGGAAAGAAGTTTTCTCAATAAACAGTTTGTCCCCTGAACTGGGAGTTCTCCTTAAAAAACATTAGGTACTGTCTTACCAAGTTAAGTGACTGGGATGGATGATTGTTCTCTGTTCCTGCGCTCTTCAACACCTTTGTGAATGTCTTGGATGCAGGACTGGAAGGAATTCTAAGCAAATTCACAGATGATACAAAACTGGAAGGAGCTGTTGACTCACTCAAAGGCTGTGAGACCCTGCAGATTAGAGGACTGGGCAATCACAAACCACATGAAGTTCAACAAGTGCCTAACTCAGTATGTGGGATGGGGCAGCCCTGGATATACAGACAGAGCAGGGAATGAAATGCTGGAAAGAAGAGCCACAGACAGGGACTTGGCATTCTTCGGCAATGGCAAGTTGAACATGAGCCAGCAGTGCCCTGGCAGCCAGCAGGGCCAACCCTGTCCTGAGGGCATCAGGCACAGCAGCACCAGCTGGGCAAGGGAGGGGATTGTCCTGCTCTGCTCTGCACTGGGGCAGCCTCACCTCCAGTGCTGGGGGCAGTTCTGAGTGCCACAATGTAAGAAAGATGTTATTACAGAGCATCCAAAGTAGAACTACACAGACGATGAAGGGTCAACAGCTGAAGCTGTATGAGGAGCAACTCAGTACAATTGGTCTGTTCATGCTGGAGAAAAGGAGACTGAGGGGAGGGCACAGAGCAGTCTAAAACTTCTCAATGAGGGGAACAAGAGGCTAAGACAAAAATCCCATATTTGTGGTGAAATAAATAGCAATGGCTGATTCAAAGGAGAAAGCTGAGTAGGGAGCCATGTTTTGGCAGTTTTGTGTTCCCCTTGATATGCCTTTAATAGCTGCAGTGTGCCTGGAGCTCTGGGCTTTGTGGTTTTCACAGCCCAACCCTAGGTACAACCTTGACCCTATGTGAGGGAGTAAAGGGTTCATGGACTCAAGGCCTGACTTTGTGTCCGGGGACATTTAGCTGTAATATCAGATGTTTACCCAGATGTTTTTTCTTTACCCAGATGTTGTTTCTACACTGAAACATGGTCCTCAGGAAAGTGATCACAGCAGCAAGTCTAACCAAGCTCAAGATATGCTTGGATAATAGCTTTGTGCACATGGTATCATTCTTGGGCATGATGCTGTACAGGACTGGGACAGTGACTTGGTGATCTTTGTGGGTCCTTGCCAATTGAGCATATCTTGTGATTTTGTGCAAAGTCCTCTACCTCTGAATTAGAAGGAACAGGTATAAGCTGAGCCTCTTTGTATTCACTTCCCTTCTTGCTGCCTAAAGGATGGATAAGAGAGGAGCTACTGAGGCACCTGTCTTTGGGGCAGGAGCCAGGGCTGACCCTCCTGGCCATATAGCAAGCTTGGCTATCAACTTTAGAGCTGAGCCAAGGAGAAATGCTGATGTTTCCTGGCTGCAGCCAGGAAACAGTGAGGCAGTATGGTCTGAAGAGTTATCCCAAAGTTAGAGTCACCAAGGAGCAACCTCATCCACAGAGCCTGTGTGGCCAAATCCACCATTAGCGCATCTCCAGATATGCTTACTCAAGACAAGCTGTTACAGGAGTGAGACATTAAAGATTTGCCTGGACATTTCAGTGTCTAGAAGACTTGTTTTTTCCCTGTCTTAAAGAGATCGAAAGTCCTGTTCTGTTTTGTAAAGAGTTAATTCTCTGTTAAGAAAAAAAAATGCATTAAAAATATTTTCATTGTCTAGGTTTTTGAGATGCTTCAGTGGGCTACTGGGAACTCTCTTTAGGACTGAGTCTGGCTGTCAAATTGACTGCTAGAGGCACAGCTGAGTTTCAAATGGACGAGAAGTGTGCGTGCAAGTCGCATCCCAGAAAAGGAAGATGTTTGACAAGTGAAATGTTTTTATTTTATGATGGAGAACGAGCAGGAACATCAGACAGGTAAATCGCCTGCCAAGCATGAGAGTTCCTGACTGACAAGCTCATCACCAGCCCTGCTTGCTCCAGAGGACCCCACATTCATTCTACTGAAAAGCAACCATTTAAACTGTTATTTGCTGACTTTTCATTACTGATTATAATTGCCATGTGCAGGTTCAGAAGAGCAAAGGGAAGCCTTTGCTTTGCAGGCAAGGGAGAATGGGACGTGATTCTTCTGGAATCAAACAGAAATAAAGGAAGCTGGAGCAAGTGAAAAAAAGCCTACAAATGGTCAGAATAAAAATCAAACAATCTGAGGCAGAGAAGCAGGACTATCACTGATGTTTATGAAAATTTAGTCATTAAAATCACAAAATGCCAATTAGAATATATGTCAAGGATCAACTCCTACTAACATGCCCTAGTAATGCATCTTTTATATGAGAAATTTTGAAAACATAGCCCTGTAATTTGAGATTATTTACTATCATGTTACTATACAAACATGTCTAATTAAGCATTTTGCTGAGTGCTATGATAAAGATGTTCAAATAAATAAACATACTAGAAGGAGAAGGACAGCATGAGGACATTGGATAGTGTGACATAAATTGTTTACCCATCTGAATGTGAAATGCCTTCTTTAGTCACAAGTGCCAAGGCCACTAGTGAATGTGTCCTTTCATCCCTGAATGGGTGAAGAAAAAACCTTGCAATACAAATCATGTATTTTGTATGGACTGTATTCAGCAAAGTGTTTAAATGTGTGCTTTAATCTATTACTATTCAACAGTTAAGTACTTAACTTTTACTAAAATCCAGGAGAAAAGACATGCTGAATCAGACACTATAAACTGAATATTTTAAAGCAAAACTATTTTGGCAATGCTTGGAAACACTTTTAAAACTTTATTGGGACCATTTTGAGATCTCTGTACTTCTCAAGCTCTGGTTACTGTAAGGTGAACTGTATGCAGACCAGAAGGAAAAAAATATTAAACTTAATTAATCCAAAGTGATTCATAAAATGTCTGGAATAACTTTCCTCTACCTAGAAAAAGGTCTCAGCTTTGAAGTCTGCTATTTGGAGAATACTCAGGGCTAAAGACAAAAGCTAAAGATCTTGGCAGAAGTCTTTGATGTTCTCCCTTCCACCACTGTTATAAAGTTCACAGTTCTAATCAGTAAAATTACAAGGTATTTGATCTTCAAGCAAGGCTTGGCACAAAACTGATCCCTGCATACAGCAGCAGTGAAAACAGAATAACCCCAGGAGTGCGAGCAGAGAGGATCTTTGGAGAGAAATAAATAGGCAGGATATCCAAAATGGCAGCAGCTGGAAGCTGCTCAGAGGTGGGATGTCAGGATGAACCCCCTGGGAGATGCGATACCGCACACAGGGCAGGGGAGGAGGTCAAATGTGCAAGGCCCTGTAATTTGTCAGACGGCTAACACCATCATTACCTGTGTGTGTGTGCATGGGGCATGCTTGACAATAAATTACAGTCACAGATTTCCAGGCTAAATGCCCTCTTATTGGCAGCATAGAGCACTGCACCCCCCCTATTAGGACATATTGTTTTATAATGGGCAATAAAAGTTGGCTCACACAGTGTGAGCCTGAAAAAGTCACTGCTGAAATTAGCAGCAATGTCAATAGTTTGGTTTTTTTTCTGCATGTTACATATTTTTCCTTTTTCTGACATAGCTGGGAGGAAAAGCATAGGAAGAAGAATGGCCTTGAAAATGGATGTAGAAGTGGGGCAGGAGTCTGAGGGTGGAGCAAGGGAGAGGAACAGCGGAGAAGGTCCCTTGTTACCACTGTTACCCAGTATCAGGCACACCAGCCTCCAACAGCAGGCA